ATATTCAATTCTTTAAAAATGGTTTTCTACAACATAACTTCGAGGGGCTGGGGTTGTGGCTCAGAGGTAGAGCACTCGCTTAGCATGTGTGAGGTACTGGGTTAGCTCCTCATGCACCACATGAAAATAAATAAAATAAAGGTATTGTGTCCAACTACAACTAAAAACAAAAACTTTGAAGAGCTGAGTACGAACATTACAACCTTGAAAATAACCCAAACAAAAATGTTTTGTGGGGGACTGAGGATTGCACCTGGGATTCTTTATCACTGAGCTACATCCTTGGCCCATTCTATTTTGAAACGGGGGTCCCACTAAGTTGCTAAGACTGTTCTTAAAAAGCCTCTCAAATAGCTGGGCTTACAGGTGTGTGCCACTGCACCTGGCTGAAACAAAACTTCTTAAGCATTGTTTTATGAACTTGTGCTAAATAGTATTACTTTACTAGCAAGGAAAATTGGAACGCGTGTTTTTTTTTTGGTCAGTATAGAAATGATACAAAAGCAGAGGGGTTCTAGAGTTGGGAAACAAAATGCCTACATAAGCAGTTATTCAGTGTGTGTGTGTGTGTGTGTGTGTGTGTGTATGTGTATGTGTGTGTGTTTAACAAGATAGGGTTTGCATTTCCTAAATTCACAAAAACTTCATGTCCACAGCAGTGATTATAAAGGAAGTCTGTGGCAGGGTGGTTAGAGGTCTTGCTGTGGTGACTTATCAGAAAGGGAAAAAAAACATTTTTAAGAAGGATATTTGCCTGAATTTGAAATAGCTAATTTTCATCCTCCAGTTGTATTGTCCATTTGGGTCAATTAACAGGAAAGCATGAAGTAGGATCAAGAAGTGATTAGAAGCAGAATACCAAAGACATTCTCAGTGATTTTTTTTCTAGCTCCAAGATGTAGAATTTATTCATATCTAAGTTTTTCCCCCTTTGATATAGAGCAATCCAAATGTCTCAGTGTCCTGTGTACATCCGTCTTTTTAAAACATTAAATGAGACAACCATGATGATCCTCCTTTGAACATTTCAAACCATTGGGTCAATATAACCCTCCACATTTTCTTGCTTATTCTTATCCATTATTTGTATCAATTTAGCTTGTGTTCTCTTATACAATGAAGAGTTTTTAAAAATAAAATGAAATGTTATTGTATACTCTGAATTGGATGATGACAGCATAAATACATTGGGTTTTTGGAATAATTTTTTTTCTTGGAAATATTTTAGAACCATTTGTTACAGGATGAAAATCATGCAGATAACCATCTATTTAGATATCATACAATGTGAAGGCTGGGAGAGAAAAATAGGTCAGCATTTCCCAGTCTCTTGAATTTAATGGACCATTAAAAATAACAGCAATAATGACAATGGAAAAGAGATAAACACTGAGTGGACAACTTTATATTTTAACAATTAAGGACATTAAAACATTTTAAAATATTTACATCTTTATTTCATGAAAGGACACTTTATGCCACCCCCCTCAAAAGGAAGAGCAAATATTGTAATAAAGGCTAGTCCTTTAAAGTGAATACACTTGACTTTATAAAAACTTTCTCACTTTTCCCTTCATTTTACTATTGAAGGTAAATTTTCAACAGATTGCAATTAGTCCTCATACAGTGACTGGGATTCTTAACTATCAATAACTTCACCAAATCGTGGAGTTTAGTAGTATCATGCAGCTTATATTTCACAATATTAGCAAATCATCCCAGTGTCTATTTTCCAGGGACTTACTTTAAACAGTTGGCTTTTTATAATCAGTAAAAAACATGTACATACAACACTTCCAAATCTTGAAGACAACAGATTTAAATGCAAAAGGGGAAAAAATGAAAAATGTGTATGAATTGAACATAGTTCCCTAAGGTGTAAGATTGTGTACCTGTAAGTTCATGGAGCTGTTATTGATCCTTGCCTTATGAAGTGATAATGCTGTTTTTTCTTCCACACCAACTACCCAGGCATAAAGTTAGAATGTTTATTTGTGAAAGGGCAGGTCAAAGTCGCCATGTTAAAGCACCCAATAGGGGTAAGCCACACGTGTGTGAGCCACGTTTATTACAAATAACTTTTGAAACCTACTGCCAATTAAGTCAACTAAACTTATTGACATATCCAGTAAGGAATTCTGTTAAAAGGTAGGATTCTGAAAAATTAGTTGTATCAGGACAACATGACGGGAACGAACCCATCAATTTAGAAGCTTGATCACACGGATGGGGAATTTATATTTAAATTCTTTTACACACACACACACACACTTAAATCCTTTCACACACACACACACACTTAAATTCTTTTACACACACACACACACACACACAAAAGGAAAGACCCCCGTTCCTTAAAGACTCTTGCTCGAGGCGAGCGGGAGCAAGCCTCCTTCCTGAAGCGGCAAGAGGCCCCTCAGTCTCCTAGAGGCCCAGGGGTCGTCACATGACCCGCGCGCTGACTGCCGGGAGCCAGGTCTCCTCGCCGAGTCTGCGCAGTCACGCGCGTCTGGCCTCACTGCTGTGCTTTTGCTGACGAGGAAGGTCCTGACGCCGCTTTGTAGACTGTTCTGTGGTGGGACTGGAGGGACGAGTTCGCCAGAGAGTGTGTCCTGAGTGGACAGGAGGCAGTGGGAGTGGATGGGAGCGGCTGTTCAGGGTCTTTAGTGGGGCGAAGCACAGGCTGGGAAGAAGGGCGGGAGGACAGGGGAGGCGAGAGCAGGCGAGAGAAGTGGCCTGAAGAGCCAGCGTAGCGCTGAGAAAAAAGAATTGAAGAAAACAGTGTTATACGGCCTGGGGGGTAGTTGTTCGTAGTAACCTAGTTTCCAACGCCTAAGATGCATAGCGCGGACAGTGGCGGTGACTGATATTTGTCACAGGATGAGAACCCGCCTGTCCATCAGGCCTGAATTAGTTCAAGGCCTTAAGTTGTGACCGGAAGACAAACATTTTTTTACAGAGACAGAAGTGCACATTGTGTTACTTTGAGAAAGGAGCGGGGATGTAAAAGGAAAAGGGAACATGGAGAGGGGAAGGGAGGGGATCAGTGCTTGCCTGCTGGCTTCTCTGACACATTTTCCCGCTCCCAAGGCAAAGTCGGCGCTGTTGTGCATGTGTAGTATTTTCTATGTGTTATGTTACTATGATAGTACTTAAACTTATATACTATAAAGATATTAGCAGGGGTGTGGAAATACTATACTGAATTCACTAAACATTTTTCTATTTTTAAACTTTTTAATTGGTTCATAATAGTTACATATAACATTAAGGTTTATTTTGACGTAATTATAAATGCATAGAGTATAGTTTGCTCCAATTCAGTCCTCAGTATTTACCCCCCCTCCTCTGTTCCTTTTCATCTACTCTACTGATCTCTATTTACAGTTCTTAAAAAAAATTAGTATCTTGTGGATATATATAATGAGGAGATTCATTGTATTGTATTCATATATGTACATTGGAAAGTTAGGTCAGATTTATTCCCCCGTTTTCCCTGTTATCCCACTTCTCCTCCCTTCCCCTCAATCCCTCTTTCTGCTCGACTATCTTTCATTTTGATGGCATTCCCCACCTACCATTTTTTCCCCTCTCCCTCAACCCATTTTAGATTAGTTTCCAGAAATAATTTGACCCTGGACTTTCTGAGTCTGATTTATTTCACTTAGCATTATAGTCTCCAGTTCCATCCATTTACCAGCAAGTGACAGAATTTTATACTTTTTCATGGCTGAGTAATACTCCATTGTATATATGCTACATTTTCTTTATCCATTCATCTATTAAAGGCCACCTAGGTTAATTACATAGTCTGGCTGTTGTGAATTTAGCTGCTATAAACATTGATGTGGTTGATCTTTTGGGTATATATGAAGGAGTGGGATAGCTGGATCATATGATGGTTCTGTTCCTAGTTTTTTGAGTAATCTGCATACTGCCTTCCAGAGTGACTGCACTAATTTGGAGTCCCATCAGCAATTTGTGAATGTACCTTTCTCCCCACATCCTCACCAACATTTCATAATTACCATTTTGACTGGAGTGAGATGGAATCTCAATGTGGTTTTGATTTACATTTCCTTAATTGTTAGAAATGTTGAACATTTTTCATATATTACAAATATCTTTCTTTACAAATTGGTTTTGCTTTTGCTGTCATATATGCATAGTAATGTGACTAATTAGATTCACTGTAATTGTCCAACTCAGCATAGTTTTTAAAAAAGTAACTTGATAACTTGAATGTAGATCACTCTGATGTAGAGACTACACTCTCTTAGGTTCCAACACTTTTTATTTAAGTTTAAACTGAGTATCACAAACTTCTAGAAAAAAAATACCTTTAGAATTTAGGGAAAAGAAAAGAAAACCGACCAAAAACCAAAACCAAACATTTTATGGGAAAACAATATTATGCTATGGTAAGATAAGATAGGACTATAGAAGCAACTTCAAACTAGAAGAGTTGTTTCTGGTCTGGCACAGGCTGACTTGTTTGAACTTGGTTAAACATCTCTGTTCCTGTTTTCTCAATTGTGGAAAAAAAGATACATTGAATAAGATAAACTGTAAGATCTGATGAACTGTAAGATCTACTTCAACATTAAGATTTTGTGAAGTTAGAAGAATCCAAATGAGCTAGTCCTAAAACAAGATACAAATGCCAGAGACTAGTTTGGCTGCTGAGTGTATATAAAGGAAGAGTTGAGAATGATGAGAATAGTAGGTTGGCTTCAGATGGTAGAGCATATATTAGAATTTGAACTTACCTTGAAGCAATGGATAGTGAAAGGTTTTTGAATGAAGGCAGTGCAGTAATCAAAGTCTTAAAAAAATCAAAGTCTTATCCTAAACAGTTGTTAGGATAAATTAAAGAAAGGGGAAATTAAATTTAAGTAAATGGTCAATTGTGAGACCCTAAATAAATAGCAGGAAAAGGAAGGGATTCAAGAGAACTGTACGTAAATTTGATACTGTTCTAAACTTACAGTTTTTGCCTCCAGAATATTATGGCAAATCATCTTGTAAAGCCTGATTCTAGAAATTGCAAGAGAACAAGAGAATTGGAGGTAAGCTGTGTGTTCCTAGAGTCTTAATCTTTTATTCTATTTTACATACTTCTTAAATTTCTTCCTTTTAAGAATGTGCCAATCATTGAGCACAGTGGTGCACACCTGTTATCCCAGCTACTCTGGAGGTTGAGGCAGGAGGGTTGCAAGTTCAAGGCCAGTTTGGGCAATTTAGTGAAACTCTGTCTGAAAATAAAAATAAAAAAAGATTTAAAAAGGGGCTTAGTGGTAGAGCACCCTGGAGTTTAATCTCTAGTACCAAAACAAAACAACAAAAACCAAAAAACCCACAAAAACCCAAACTTTTGTTGTTGAATGGAATTTAATACATATACCCAGAGCTAGGATTGTCCTAGAAGGAACTATGTGGACTCCAGTTGTTTTTTCACTAATTTTAGATTTCCAGGAAACTATTGGGAGACTTCTTTTTGCTAGTTTGTGATCTAGAGACAGAAGTGAGTCCAGACCTTTATGATACATAGGACTTTTTTTTTGCAATGATAAGTAAGACACCTAGGTACTATAGTTATTAATCTTTTAAAAGAAAAGCTCTGTATTTAGTCCTTCATCACTGCCTTCACCAATTAATCTGTTGCATTTGGGACATTATTTGCCCCCTTGAAAATTATAATATGTTGCAAAATTTTGCAAGTATTTGGTTATTTTTCCAATGATAACCACTATATTTGTGTTAGCTTTTTGTCACTGTGACAAATACCTGAGAAAAACAATTTCTTAGGTTCTTAGGTTCATGGTTTCAGTTCATGGTCTGCTAGGCCTAAGGTGAGGTAGAACACATGGTGGAAAGGTATGGTAGAAGAAAACTTGTCAGTTTATGGCAACCAGGAAGCAGGGGGATGTAGGGGGGGGGTGGGAGGGAAGGTTCAGGAACAAGATATTGACTCCAAGGCATGACTCCAGTGACCTGCTTCCTTCAATGATGCCCCACCTGTTTACAGTTCTCATCAACTCCAGTAGTCTATTCAGATGTCAGTGGATTAACTCACTGATAAGGACAGAGCCCTCATGATCCAATTACTTCCCCATTTTTCCATCTTTGGACATTACTGCACTGGGGACCAAGCCTTCAACAGATGAGTTTTGGGGGAACATTTCAGATCTAAACCATAACAGTGTTGCTGTGAACATCTCCAATGGCTCAAGATACAAGATAAATTTTCATCAAGGGATTAAAACCATATTCAAAATCTAATCTAAAATCAAGACAAAGGTACTTTTTAGTCCTGAAAGTTTAGCAACATACTTCTTAGTCCTAAAAGTTGAGCAAAGTACTTCTTAGTCCTAAAAGTTTCCTTGATAAAAAAATTTCAAATGACTAGTATGTAATTTCTGTTTGATTTTTCTAATATATATATTGTATATATATATTAGAAAAATATATATATATAATATATTTTGCTTTTTAAATAAACATAATGATACTTCTTTACTTTCTTCTTTTAGTCTCAAATGCCAGATAGCCCACAGCTGTCCTCTCTTGGAAAATCGGATTCATCTTTCTCTGAATGTTCTGGACTGTTTTATAAAGATGAAACCTTAGAGAAAGATTTAAATGGTGATATATAAAATGATTATATTTCTATATACTGATTATATCATGCATGTTTATTATATTTCATAACTTAATCAACGATTCTTTAAACAGATATGAGCAAGGAAATTAATCTAATGTTGTCTACGTATGCAAAGATCTTAAGGCAAGTATTAAAGTATATTTTCTTGGGTCTTTATGTTAGAAATAGTATTTGTCTCTTGGAAATTCTGTAATGGGAAGTTTAATTCTGTTGCTGAGAAACCTTTCAAGTAATTAAACTTTGGAAATTTTTTTATTCTATCTCAATTCCTTGTGATATATTAGTTGGTTATTTTCAGGGAATAAACCCAAATTTTCCACTAAACATCCTTTGTTTTGGTAATGCCAAAGCCAAAACTAGACTGCATATGTCTTGACCTCTTACTTAGATGATATTGCATTTAAACTTTTATATAAATGCCTTTTTGAGAAAAATACCATTCAGTGAAGTTAATTATTATAGCGTGATATTAAATATGATGTTATTTCATATACTTTATCTTATATTTTATCATGTCTTTTTAAAATATATATATTTTTTAGTTGTAGTTGGACACAATACCTTTATTTGGTTTATTTGTTTTTATGTGGTGCTGAGGATCTAACCGAGGGCCTTGAATGTGCTAGACGAGCACTCTACTACTGAGCCACAACCCAAGCCCCTATCGTGTCTTTTTATCTTTGTATTTGAAGACTGAATTTAGGTATTTAATTGGCGTAAGATTATGGTGAATATAAGGCGATTTTTAAAAAAACTACTAGATAGTCATCATACTTGAGTAATAGTTTGTATGGCTGTAAAAATCACTTATATAATTTAATATTAGTATTATAATGTATAAGATTATAAGTATTATGCATGCTTTCTGCTGTGTCAGGAGACTGTGAGTAGTCAAAAATGTTTTTGAGACTAATTTAACATTTTCTTAGTAAATTAATAAAGCTATCTCATGCACATAGTCATTTAAATGAAATAATTAACAAATCTTGTTTAATAAAGAACATTATCATGATAATGTTTATAGACTATGCAACTATTTAGTTTACCATAAAACTTTTTATTCCCTATTAGTGAGAGAGCAGCAATAGATGCATCTTACATTGATGAGATAGACGGACTCTTTAAAGAAGCAGATATTATTGAAAACTTTCTCATACAAAAAAGAGAGCTCCTGAGACAGAGGTTTACAGTGATTGCAAATACACTGCACGGATAAAATGTTTAAACTTAAGATAAGCTGGGGATTGAAACATATTGTTATAATGAAAGAATGACATGTATGTTCTGAAGGCTTTCTAGTTGTTAAAAAAAATGTAGATCTTAAAGAAGAGGAAACTCCTTGAATGTTTTTCTAGATTTAAAAGGGCCTTTAAACTTAACGTTAATATGAAATATGTAACTTTTCTCTTAAAGGTCAAATGTTTGGCATATTTTATAAAAATGTAAATTATTTAAATCATACATGAATTCTTTTCTTTCTTCTTTTTCCTAAAACCTTTCTTAAGCTTCTAAAGGAGAATTCAGTTAATTTGATTATGTGTAACAATATTATACTTTTTTCTTACAGAATGTTTTGTTTAAAAAGCAAATAATTTGGGACATAATGTAAAATTTTTTATGGCCAGTCTTATAAAAGAATATTAAAGCATTAAAGGTAATTTGTTCAGTTTCTAAGTATGTAAAACAGTATAACTATGTGCTATTGTTATTTAATATTATTTGATTATTTTCACCATTATTATATATAACTAATACAAACTTGGTTTAAAATATGTTTCTGTGCTAAAATAAAACCCAGAAATTACTAACTAGAACCTTGTGTGAGTGGCTTTTTATACACATCAACCAGATCAATGTATGCAGTTAGTGATTATATTTAGAAGCCTTAGAGCAGTGTGGTATGGACTAGAGATTAATGATACAGCAGTAAGGAGATTAGCTTAACAACAGGATGTCCAGGTCATTTCAATTGTATAATTTAGAAATTGAATTTAGAAGATCTCTAGTGTTATTCATCAGGCTAAAAATATTCTTCCTTTGATGTAAATAAAGTACTGCTATAATTTTATTCAAACTATATTGATATATAAATTGCATAGGAAAACTATAATTGTCAGATTTATAAAAATCACAGTACCCATTTTTCAATCACAGATAATTCATTTTTCTATATGTCTGTTTTTCCAGTAAAAGCAATAACAGATTTGGACACATTTGCAAACAGTATCACAGAGAATTGGTATTTTTAAAGAAGATAGCTTGTTTGCCTTGCTGTGTTCTAAGCTCTAAAATTAAATCTCACTGTTTTAAGGCATAAACATTATATCAATACTCATACTGGAGAGGATGAAAAAATTTATAAATTTATAAATAAATTTAAAAAGTTGGGTATATGTGGGGGTAGGAAAGAAGTTGGAATAAGATGGACATCATTACCCTAAGTACATGTATGAAGACATGAATGGTGTGAATATACTTTGTATACAAACAGAGATATGAAAAATTGTGCTCTATATGTGTAATATGAACTGTAATGCATTCTGCTGTCATATATATATATAACAAATTAGAATAAAAGGGTATATGGAAAAAATTATTGGGTTGGTTGAGATATACACTGCTGGAATAGGATAGATTAGAGGTCAACAAAATAACTTAGAAATGAAATTTTTAGGCGCCTGGGGTTGTGGCTCAGTGGTGGAGCACTCGCCTAGCATGTGTGAGGCCCTGGGTTCGATCTTCAGCACCACATAAAAATAAATAAATAAAATAAAGGTATTGTGTTCACTACAATTAAAAAATACTAATAAAAAAAGAAATGAAATTTTAAAAAACTTAATAACAACCAAAGATGATATTTGAGTTAATATGACATATCACCTGAATCCTTTTTTTTTTAAAGAGAGAGAGAGAGAGAGAACTTTTTAATATTTATATTTTTTAGTTTTTGGTGGACACACATCTTTATTTTATTTTTATGTGGTGCTGAGGATTGAACCCAGCACCCCGAGAATGCCAGGTGAGCGCGCTACCGCTTGAGCCACATTCCCAGCCCCTCACCTGAATCTTGAGTCATTTTATTAGAGTTCTTTATGTTTGAAATAGAAAGATGACTCTGTTGACCTACTATCTTTAAGAAATACTCTTAGTTTTGCTAAGCATTTATTATTATTATTATTATTATTATTATTATTAAAAATAAGGTCAACAGATTATTTAAAATTGAATTTTATAATATACTTGTTATATATTTTATAGTATCATTATTGTTCAGCATCTGGTTATTCCCTTTATAATTCCAGAAAATTTATTGGGTAATTTCATTTGTTGAGATTAAGACTAAGGAACTCATATTTTAAGTCACAGTGTCTTTACTATTCAGAATGGCCACCTTCTAGTACCAAAATGCCTAAAACCTTAATAATTAAGGCTTATTTTTTAAAAGTCACATTTTGATGATTTTTGTACCACCCATATAAATAAGAATAATTTCACAACTGCAATATACTGTTGCAGGAATCACTCTTTATCATTTTAATAAATTTCAAACATTTTAAAATTATTTATCATTGACACTAATCACAACATATATTGAATCAGCTTTGTGTATTATACTATGTTAGGCACTGTGGAAAGTATAGAATAGTTTAATAAATTGCCTTTTGACATTTTTCACCACTCCTTTATTGAAATACACTTAAAATTTTGCTAGGAAGACATGACATGCTAATGTTTAAAGCATCTCTATGGGAGTTACTAGAACTGGAAAGGGGGTCAAAAAAAATTTTTTTTTTTTTGCAGTGGTGGAGATTGAACCCAGGTCCATGAGCATGCTATGCAAGCACTCTACCACTGAACTACATCCACAGCCCTTGGGAAGTAGATTTTGAGTTGGATTTCTGAAAATGAAAGAAGGTAGACTATTTCAGACAGGGAAAAGCTTGTTTAAGGGCATAGAAGAACCACAGCACATCATGGTAGTTAGGCACTTTGCAGAGATGAGAATTCATAATGGGGAATAGTTATCATCTAAACTGCTGGAGAGCAGGGGCTGACTCTTGTTTTTTGGTATTCTTACTTTGTATCATAGTATTCAATAGACTGGTGTTCAAAAATGTTTGTTAAAGTAATAAAATCATATATGTATTTTTTATGGTGGGCATACCTTCACAGGGTATGCCCTGTGGTACTATGTTGTCAAAAAATGTTTGTAAAATCAACGATTGAAAAGGTATGAAATGATAGAAAGGCAAAGAATGAAAGGTAAGTTGTTTCTTGATTGTAGAATCCTTTATTGACAGTCTTAAATTTGGACTTTATTTTGTGTTTGAATCTTTCGGAAGAGAGGAATGGCACAATGAAGGTGATCACCTTGGATCCAAATCAACTGACCTACCAATAGTGTAAAGATAGAAGAAAGTTTAAAAAGGGAGTCTACTATTGGTGATACAATTTTAATATTTCAAAACGAAATACTCCTTATTATAGATAGTTTGTTGGGATATTTGCTCTGGAGATGAGACAAGGAGAGATTACTGGTGTTTTGAAGCTCCACCCCTTACCTCCCCTCCCCATCCCATTCTGTCACTGAGCCAGGGACAACCCTGGAGAGTCAGGGACAACCCAGGAAGTTCTGTGAGCGTTCATTGTTTAGTGTTTCTTCCAACTGTGACTGCCGGTGAGTGTAAGCGTTTGAAATCACAGGATCTGCAGCTACTGAACAAATTAAAAAATGTGTTTTCAAATCTTTCTCCATTTTGTCAGGAATCGTTCTACCACTGCAGTAGGTTTTCTTTCTGTGGCAGTGTACCGGCTCCCAGGTAGGGGATTTACCCTTTCTTTTCCTTTTCCTGCCAGTCTGTACTTAAGACTCTCTGCTTCGTTCCCGAAGATTACTGAAGGCTTTTGAAGCTTTCCCTTTCTGTGCAGAGCAGATACAGGCAGCAACTCTGCAGAGCCAGAAGTGAAGGAAGGCCCAGTCAGGATTTGTTTGTTTATTGTTAGGGAAACAGTCCTCATGTTCATGTTTTATACAAAATATAGGGGTAGGATTCAGGTTTAGGGATTTTCTTGGATCTATAATAGGAAGGATATTTACTATTCAGACTTTTCTAAATTGGAAATCACTGCCACATGTTCTAATGTAAATATTTGGTTTTTCTATTTGCATTCTGGGGAATTGCCTTCAAACCTTCTTTTTCAATTATATTTCTACTATTGTTTCATGATTTTATTTCTTGGAATTGGCTCATATAGAACTGTCAGAAATCTAACCCATATGCATTATGAATTGTATAATTATTTAATCCAATAACTTTGCTTGCATTATGCAAAGTAATAGGTACTGGAAGAAGAGGGGAGACAAAAGCCAGATCCTGTACTCGAGGAATACTGGTGGTAGAGTTTGTAGAACATATTCATCTAAAACATACAAGACAGGAAATAACACAAGGACTATAAGAGCTATAAATTGCTTCTTTGTGATTTCAGACTCAGGAGAATCAGTTCTTGCTATAGGAAATGGGAATGCCATGCTTAGGAAGCAGGTGACATGGAAACTGGATCTTGAAGGATGAGTTAGATATGTGAATTCCATCTGAAGAACACGAGAAATATCCTTGTGTTATGAGAATGTTATCCTCGTGAATGAGAATGTTATGATTATGATAAGAAGAAAATAGGACTGGTCCAGGTAGGCTGGAGTAAAAGACATTATCAAGAGGCAGAATGACATAAAAATATGGTAATATTTTTAACCATGCAAAATTGGATGGGATCTGCAGTCCTGCAGATGTGCTATTTAGAGCTGAAGGCCTTTGGCCATCCCAAACACAAAGGGGATAATAAGCCCACTAATTAGGAAGCTGTGGTGTAGAAAATAATTTGATTCCCTAATTTCTCCTTCCAATTAGGAGGCTGCTATAATATCCAGTTAAGAGGTGAGAGCCCAAATTAGAACAGTAAGAAGGAAGTGACTGGTATGAAAGTGAAGTTGAGGCATCTGTGCTGAGGACCGGTTCAGGAAAAAAATAGAGGGAGTTGTCCAGGAGGGAGGAGCTGTTCAAAATCTTTACAATTTCCCCTAGGCACTCTTGCAGACTTTTGAGCCCTAATAATTTATATTGGCCACCTATGTTCTCTCCTTAACATCCCCTACTGGCCCAGTGTTGGTATAGTCAGCAAAACTTAACCATTTAGTGAATGCGAGGGGAGTGCACAAAATGAATTCAAAGCTTACAGAGATCAGCTGGGTGATGTGGCTGGTGAAAAAATTTATTTGGAAGGGGTAAATAAAGAATTATATTTTGACATGTTTAAGAGTCACTTGCTAGAAGTAATTGGTGAATTGAAACTAGATAGAGATTACAAGTGAAAATGCTGAGATGAAAGAATAAAGGTTCAAGGTGACACCTTAGGAAGATTTATGTGGTGATAAGGGAAAAGGAGCCAATAAAGGGAATTAACATTTAGAAAGTATCATTATATTTAATTATGAGATCGACATGAACAGGAAGTGTTAACCTCTTTTTATTCCCACTTTATCATTGAAAAACCTGAAGTTCAGAGAGATTAAGGAATATGCCCAAGTTGTCAGTTAATAAGCAACAAAGCTGGCATAAAGCACAGAGTTGTGAGAAAGAGAGCAGGAAAGTCAGAATAGTACAGTGTGTCGGAAGCCAAGAATAGAAAGGGGTTTGAAGAGATGTTGACAACAATATCAAGTACCACAGAAAGTTTGAAGAGCATGTACTATATTGCCAACAACATGGAGTATAGAACATATAGACATAAAAATACTTTCTAAAATGTAAATGTTTCAAATGCATCTGTACTCAGATAAGCACCTAATCAGGTTATCCAATTTAATTTTACTTAAAAAAGTGAGATGAGTACAATACCTGACTTCAAGGAATTTATTTTAATTTAAGAGAAGAATAAGAAGGAAAATAAGACAAATCTATATAATGTTAATAAAAGTAGGATAAAATAAATAGGTTTGCTTCTTTCTCTCTCTCTCTCTCTCTCTCTCTTTTTTTTTTTTTAAAAAGCAGCATCTTAATACCTCTTTTAAGGGCTGGAGTCATGGCTCAGTGGTAGAGCGCTTTCCTAGAATGTGTGAGGTGCACTGGGTTCAATCCTCAGCACCACATAAAAATAAATAAATAAAAAGGTATTGTGTCCATCTACAACTAAAAAATTTTTTAAAAAACCTCTAATAATATGGTTCCCAAACTTAAATATGCCTAAGAATACCGGATTGCTTTCTTCCAGAGATTCTGATTTATTATGTACAGAGTTGTGTCCAGGAGTTTGCATTTTAGCAACAACATCAGGTACTATTTCTTTGCAAATAGTCCTCGGACTGGACTTTGAGAAACAATGTTTAACAAATCACTTATTATCAATAATCTGTTTTTTTACTAAGCAGAGTAGAGTGAAGTTTCTAATGCTTTTTATCCTTCAGCAGTGCCTGGCACTTGTTAAATGAATAAAGTAATTCCAAGAAAGAAGATATATAGTAAATCTTATTGGATTATTCATTAAAAGCTATATAAATGATAATACCTAATACTTTTGAGTATTTATTGTATTCTAACTCATTTACTTATAGCTTTAGGTATGATGAGAATTATTATTTCCCCAAATATAAAGGAGGAAATAGGACAGAGAGGTTGAGAGTCTGTTTGGGAAGTGACCAAGATTTGAAACCAAGAAGTCTGGAGCCAGGCAGAATTTGAGCCTACAGTCTTAAATATTACACTGTGCTTCCTTTTAAAGGAAGTAACATTTGAGATAGAACTTGTGCAATATGTAGAGTTTTTTAAAGGAGAAGTTTTGGGAAGGACATACAGAATGAAAGTGAATTTTATTTGGGAAATCAGGAAATAGTTGGGCTTGACTGAATTGTTACATGCAGGAAAGTAAAAGTTCTCGTGTGCCTCTGAACTGAATATCTGCCTAAAGAATGCAAATCTCATTTAGTCAGGGGAATGATATCCATATGTGTTTGTTTATTTTTCTACTTTCAACTTCTGTATCACTGTTAAACTTTTATGAAAAAAATAAAGGATTGTATTTTATATATTTGATTGATTATTTGCATTGATTACCCTTCTGCATTAAGCAATACTGTCTTGTGAACACTCAGTAAGTATGAAATATTAGGGATAATTTCAGCTTCTGAATATATGAGTTTTACTTCTTGTAGTTTTTGAACTTCTGGTAATCTCATAATGAGTATCACTGCATAAATTAATTTATAATACCACTTTCATAGAAAATACCATCTCCTTTCATCTACATGCTATTAAAATGGAAGAAATTAGGGGCTAGGGCTGTAGCTCAGTGGTAGAGTGCTTGCCTCGCATGTGTGAGGCACTGGGTTTGATCCTCAGCACCACATAAAAATAAATAAATAAAATAAAGTTATTGTGTCCATCTACAACTAAAAGAAATATTAAAAAATAGAAAAAATTAAATTTGACATCATATCAAATTCACAGAAATCACTATAAATTTTTGAGATCACATTCTAGTATATCTAAAATACTGGGGTCAAGGTCATTATGATAATATTGAATGGTGGTCATTTAAATTTTGATGTTGTTGTTATAGATGGACACAATACCTTTATTTATTTTTATGTGGTGCTGATGATCAAACCCAGTGCTTCACACATGCTAGGCAAGTGCTCCACCACTGAGCTACAACCTCAGCCCAATCATTTTAAATTTTAACAGTGAAGTTGTTATTAGCACATCTAGGGTTAGCATGTAGAGTGATCCTTGTAAAAAGATAAGCATTGCTCAACTATGAGGAATGAGAAAATAAAGTCTTGAGTTAATTCTTAGGCAGATTAGTACTGCAAGAAACAAAAGAAAGATTTTTGTGGCTCAAAAGTGGAGAACCAGTTTTGGTAGTCTGAGAATGAGGAAGCAGAGGGAAGGATTTGGAGACCATTTGATGTTAGGTTCACATTTCCCTTAAGCTGTCAGTCTATAGATTATTGCTTATGGGTCAATAGGCATGTTTATAGAAAATCTGGCAATTTTTTTTTGTGTTGTCCTTTGGCTTTCTCTTCACAGTTTTGAAGACATACATGGAAAATACTCATCAGAAAAAAACCCTCTTGGGGCAGCGGCAGAATTTGCCATGTATTGCACCACTGCTGACCACGGTGGAGGAGACTGTGCAGATCATCTCTGCTCAAGTCAAGGGACACATTCCTGAGTGGCTCCATGGCTATCTACTTCGGGTTGGACCTGGAAAATTCGAATTTGGGAAGGATAAGTAAGCCTACATTTTGGAGAACAATGTAGATTTTTGGGAACGGGCTGATTCTGTGGAATAGGAATTAATATCTTCTTTTTCTCTTATGCAAACATTGTCATTCAGTTCCTGTGATTACAGGACAGAAAGTATAGCCTAGTGGAGAAAAAAAACAACAAGACTTAATTGTTTTTTAAATGTCTTTCTTTTCCTATTCTGCAGAATATTGTAAATTTGAAGCCCTCAAAGTTTATGCCAAAAGAGAAGTGGCAGGACTGTGTGACTACCAAGCTGTTGCATCACAAGTTGAAGGACAGCAGTGTCTTTACCTCCTACCATTCTTGCTTGCACCCCATACTCCCCAGATGCAATGCCCTCTTTCAGTTCCTTATACTGGCCACATCTTTTTTTTTTTTTAATTAAATTATTTATTTATTCTAATTTGTTATACATGATGGCAGAATGCAATTCATTTCATATTACACATATAGAGCACAATTTTTCAAGTCACTGATTGTACACAAAGTATTTTCACACCATTCGTGTCTTCATACATGTACTTAGGGTAATGATGTCTAACTCATTCCACCATCATTCCTACTTCCTTGCTCCCTTACTTCCCCTCCCTCCCTCCCCTTTGCCCTATCTAAAGTTCCTCCATTCCTCCAATGCTCCACCCCCACCCCTCATTGCCATTATGATCAGCATCCTCATATCAAAGAAAACATTCCAAAAACACTTGGTTTTTTGGGATTGGCGTACTTCACTTAACATGATTTTCTCCAACTCCATCCTTTTACCTTCAAATGCCATGATTTTATTCTCTTTTAATGCTGAATAATGTTCCATTGTGTATGTATACCAAAGTTTCCCTATCCATTCATCTACTGAAGGACATCTGAGTTGGCTCCATAATTTAGCTATCAGCCACATCTATTTTTGCTCAGCATCTTAGCATTAACTCTCTTACCTATCTTCCCCAATCTTTCCAGGTCTCATTCTTATCGTCCAGATGCACACTAGATCTCCTGTTCTTTGAGTCTTCTCTATCTTCCAATCTAAAAACACTAGAAATTATTATATTACCAATTTAATTCTCTATACAGCACTGTCATTGTCTGTGGTTTTGTTTGTTGATTTGTGTGTTAGCTGTGTTGTCTCTATTAGAATATAAGTTCCATGAAAGCAGAGGCTTTTTAATCACTTGATATCTTTAATATCCAGAATAGTGTACTGCACCCAGATAGCACTCGATGAATAGATATAAACTCTTGAGGATATCATGTCTGTGTGTCTAGTAGGGATGTGAAACAAAATGCCTATGTTCTGGAAGGATTCTGCTTTTTTTTTTTTATCATTTTTAAGTATTGGAAAAAAATTACTCATTATAAAAATTGTTATTTATATAAAATATTTTTAATGTAGAGAGGGGGAAAAGCATGTACCACTTGACACATCCCCTATTGCACTTTGGTGTATTTCTTGCCAGTTCTCTACCCTGTTTCCATAGAATTGTTTTAAATAATTGCAGCCATATGTAGATTTATTGTTGTTGTTTTGATTAAAAAACAAACAAACAAAAAACTTTACACTATCAACAGGGCCTAGTAGCTCATGCCTATAATCCCAGCAACTCAGGAGGCTGAGGCAGGAGGATACCAAGTTCAAGGTCAGACTTTGTAAATCTCTAAGCACATACATTTCAAAACCTTGATGAAATGGATAATTTTCTAGGGAAAAACAGATTGCTAAAATTGGTAGAGATATAAAGTTTAAAAAGACCAGTTTATGTAGAAGAAATAGAGAATGTCAATAAAGACATATTCGAAGAAGAAGGAGGAAGAGGAGAAGGGCACAAGGTCTAGATTATTTTACCGAAGTCTCTCAAACCTTCAGATATGAAGTAGTTCTAATGCTTTATAATTTTTATAGAGCATTGAAAATAAAGGGAAAATTCCCAAATTTTTATGATATTGGTATTTAAACAGGATAAAGATAGTGCAAAAATGAAATTATAGACTAATTTTATTTGTAAAAACCCATGATAAAATACAAAATATATAATATTAACATAGGACTAAGATATTTTATTAACAAGAAAAATCTAACATCATATTAAAAATAAAATTCACTATAATCAGGTGGGAGTAATTCCAAGAATGCAAGATAGATTCATTATATACATATATTATTATATAACCACATTAATAGATCTCTGGAAAAATAAACATAGAATTATCTCCATAAAGGTTGAAAGATACTTGTCAAAAGTCAACATCAATTGCTCAAAAAACCTGCTCAAGAAAATAGGACTTAATGAATAGTTTCTTTTTTGGGGAGGGGTACCAAGGATTAAACTCAGGGGCATTTCGGCCACTGAGCCACATTCTGAGTCCTGTTTTGAATTTTATTTAGAGACAGGGTCTCACTGAGTTGCTTAGTGCCTTGCTTTTGCTGAGGCTGGCTTTGCACTTGAGATCCTCCTGCCTCAGCCTCCAGAGTAGCTGGGATTACAGGCATGCACCACCACACGCTGCAGTTTCTTAACTATGTTTGCATATATGCTTAGTATACATATCATATTTATCATATCATACGTATCTATCTCTATGGTTCTATCTCTGTCTCAATATTTTGTGCTAAAACTAAGTAAGTAAGTTGAGTAATACTACAGTAAGTAAGTTGAGTAATACTAAGTTGAGAATTACTACAAGCATTTTTTCTAACTCCAGGAACAAGGAGAGGATGTTAGTATCTCCACTGCTGTTCAACATTATACCAGTTATAAGCAATACAATTAGACCACTGACACTAATTAAGGGCAGAAGGCTTAGTAAAGAAGTAAAACTTACTCTTCTTTGCAGATGATATAGTACCAAACCTACAAAACTATAGAGAATCAATAATAAACTCAATCTTAACAATAAACATAAGGTAACAGGGTATAAAATCAACATACTAAAATCAGTAGCCGTCATAGACACAAGCAGTAACATAATGATAGGAAAAACTTCATTTCCAATTGTGACAAAGAAGATTAAATACTTTGAAACTAACTTACCAAGAAATGTGCTAACTTTAAAACTCTTGAAAGGTGCACTTGAACAAATGGAAAGCCCATCCCCTGTTCTTGAGTAGAATGATTCAACATTATAAAGATTTCAGTTCTGTGTAAGTTAATTTATAAATCTAATGCAATCTTTTTTGTTAAATTGTTTTTTAGTTGTAGATGGACACAATATCTTTATTTTATGTATTTATTTTTATGTGGTGCTGAGGATTGAAACCCAGTGCCTTACATGTGCTGGGCAAATGCTCTACCACTGACCTACAACCCCAGCCCAAAGTCCATTCTTCTTCTTTTTTTTCCCCCTGTGGTGTTAGGAATTGAACCCAAGGCCTAATGCAATCTTAATAAAAACTCCAACAAGCTATTTAAGGCAATTAGACAAATTGATAGTAAAGTTCATTAGAAGAAATAAATATTCAAGAATAGTCAAGAAAACATTGAAAATGAAAAATTTTCAGGAGTAGTGAGCAGACATCAAAGTATACTATAAATCCTCTACGATTAAAACACTGTGATGCTGGTTCATGAATAGGTGAATAGATAAATGACATGGAATAAAAAGTCCAGGTATAGACCCAAGAACTTACTGAAGTTAGTGTATAATAAAGGTGCCATCTGAAATGATTGGTTTAAGAGTGCCTTTTTCTTTTTTTTCCTGAATTTAAAAAACTGTGGTAAGATACATGAAACATAAAAATTTCCATATGCCTTAATCATTTAATGTGTGCAGTTCAGTAGTGTTAAGTGTATTTGCATTATTGTGAAACAGACTTTCAGAATGTTCTTGTCTTGCAAAACTGACACTCTTTACCAGTTAACACAACAACACACCAATTATCCTTCCCCACCAGCCCAACACACAGCATTCTTCTTCCTGTTGCTATGATTTTGACTACTTTAAATATCTCATCTGGAGGCTGTGGTTGTAGCTCTGTGGTAGAGTGCTTACTTAGCATGTGTGAAGGACTGGGTTTGATTCTTGGCACCACATAAAAATAAATAAATAAAATAAAGGTATTGTGTTCATCTACAACTTAAAACAAAATGATACAAAACAACAAAAACCTTATCTGCTAGGGGAGGTGGTGCAGGCCTATAATTCCAACAACTCAGAGGAGACTGAGTCAGGAAGATCACAAGTTTGTCTCAAAATAAAAAATAAAAGGGCTGAGGGTGTAGGTAGGGTGCCCCTTGGTTCAATCCCCAGTATTAAACTGATGTAGGGAAGATTAATAGAAGAAAGCATACAAACATTATTTAATAATTTTGTTACATCAACTGGGGAACCCTCACAAGAAAAATGATGACCTAAAGTATCAGAACTAAAAGATTATATGCTGGGTTGGACAAAGAGTGGTAAATTGTGGAAATATGACAAGACAAGGGTTAAGTCTAGAGCAGTTAATTGTAGGAAAGTGATATGAAACAAGTTTACCAAAGTTTGTTACAGATTTCTCTTGGCCTTCATGCCCCATCTCCAGCAATAGAAATGTCTTCCTTCTGGCACATAGAAAGTACCTTTCTCGTGGGAGTTATTTTCTGCTTTCAGAAAGAAAAGGGAAGGTCAGAGTGCTCTTCTTGCAGTTGGTGTTTTTCAAGTGCTTTTAACACAAAATAATCAGTATGTCAAAGCGACATATTTTAGGGTGGCATGCTTGAAGCCCCACAATGTAAACATTTTGTTTATCCATTCAACCATCAGTAGAAACTTAAGCTGCTTACACCTTTTGGCTGTTGTGAGTAAAACCACTATGAACATGGGTGAACAAATATCTTTCCTAATCTCTACTTTGAGGAACCATTGTCTTTTTTTTTTTAAAGTATTTTCTTAATTCTCAATGGACTTTATTTATTTATGTGCAGTGCTGAGGATTGAACCCAGTGCCTCACACAAGATAGGCAAATGCTCTACCACTGAGCCACAACCTCAGCCCATCCATTGCCTTTTAAGACAATGATGTTAGCTTTGTTTACCTATCATTAAGCATTCACTCTGTCAAGCATATGAAAGGACCACATAATAAGCCCTTTTAAAAGCAAAACCACAAATTTTTTCTCACAGTTTTTCAATATTCTATCATTTAAGTAGAACATTTCTAGTATAATTATAAGGACAAAAATGATTATGCAGGGGGCTGGAGATGTGGCTCAAGCGGTAGCACGATCTCCTGGCATGCGTGCGGCCCGGGTTCGATCCTCAGCACCACATACAAACAAAGATGTTGTGTCTGCCGAATACTAAAAAATAAATATTAAAAAAATTCACTCTCTCTCTCTAAAAAAAATGATTATGCAGGAAGGACAGTCATCCTGTTTATTTTACTTTATACAATTGTGAAAAATTTGAAAAAATTTAAAGTAAACGGAAAATTTAATATATATATAAGCTATGAAGATAACTATTTCGAAAAGCTTAGGAACTTGTTCTAATTTGTAAGGTGCCAAGTTTTCTATAACCTCTTAAGCTAGTCTCTTGGCTGCAGGGTAAATTTCAGAATTATCTTAAGATTCACACTGTAGGGTTTTTCTTTAGCCTTATGGAATGTGAGATTTTTAACAAGGGTAAGGTTTAGGAGAACATAAGTTGCTGTTGTTCCTGAGGTTCAATCCCCAGTATTAAACTGATGTAGGGAAGATTAATAGAAGAAAAGCATACAAAAAGGATATTCAAAATGCCATCTTCCCTGAATTTTAAACTTTCTGAATAATCAGGTGGTACTGGGAGTCCATGTAATCTTCTTATCTCTTCGTTTGAAATGTGGATGTGTTATTCCACCTTTAATTTTGACTGCATGCTTTTCTTACTGATACATGTTTTTCTGTTCTTTTCTCGAATTTGCAGGTACAGTCACTGGTTTGATGGAATGGCTTTGCTTCATCAGTTCAGGATGGAGAAAGGCACAGTGACATACAGGAGCAAGTTTCTACAGAGTGATACATATAAGACCAACAGTGTTGGAAATCGAATTGTGATCTCAGAATTTGGCACACTGGCTTTTCCTGATCCATGCAAAAATATTTTTGAACGTTTCTTGTCAAAGTTTGAACGGCCTGGTAAGCAGCCTTTCACATGCCCAGAATTTTGTAGGTGATAGTGACCATTATTTAAAATTATTATATTATAATCCATGCAAATATAAATTTTGAAAAACATGTTTTGTTTGGTGTGAGAGGATGTTGAAGCTATTTTCTCTCTGTAAATATATACTTAGTGTCTACTACAGTAAATTCTTAATGCTAAAATAATTCTGATGGTTGGTTTCAGCCATGACAGACAACACCAATGTCAACTATGTGCAGTACAAGGGTGATTACTACATGAGCACTGAGACCAATTTTATGAATAAAGTGGACATTGAAACTCTGGAAAAAATAGAAAAGGTAATGTATAGGTTAAAAAATGAATAAAATAGATCCGAACATTTCTTTCCATTCAAAATGCTTTTTTAGAATAGTAGGAGAAACTGGAGGCTTAATCACAAAAACAGAGTTATCCATTGATTCAGAACACATTCATCCTTTGTCCTGATTAGAATGGAGTATGGGGTTGGTTTTACTTAAAGGTAGAAAACTTAATCCTAATATCTGAAGGTTAGGGTAGAGGAGAAATAGAATATTACTGATTTACTTTGATAGGCTTATGTTCTTTCTAGCAGAATAGTATTGAACTGGAGATTGTCTAGATCCATATTTTTTTTCAAATATTTTTAAAAATATATTTTTAAAAATATAGATGGAGACAATACCTTTATTTATTATTTATTTTTATGTGGTGCTGAGGATTGAACTCAGTGCTTCACACTCTAGGCAAGCACTCTGCCACAGAGCTACAACCACAGCCTCAGATCCATATTGTTTTAACACATTGACTAAAATTTTAATTTTAATTCTTTTGCTTCTTTTGAACTTTCCCTTAATCTTGGATAAATCTATTTAGGTTATTGTTGTTGGTGGTGGGTTTTGGCTTTTAGATTCAATTTCTTTTTCTTTAGTGGGAAAACTAATTTTGATTTCTCAGAGGTAAGAAATTAGGGCTTATACTGTAGTTTTCATATATTATTTAAAAATAATTTACATGTCTCTACTACTTATGCATATCAGTAGAGATCTGTGCATGTAATATTTAAAAATCTCTAATGATCTTAAATTTGCAGGTGGATTGGAGCAAATTTATTGCTGTAAATGGAGCAACTGCACATCCTCATTATGATCCAGATGGAACAGCATACAATATGGGGAATTCCTATGGACCACAAGGTAAAGTTGGGATGGAGGTATTTTTAGAAATAATTGGGAGTTAACTGTCTTCCTCTTCTATTGTTTTATTATGGTTAAGATGTAAACACATGAAACTTCACTTGAAAGATTCAGAAGGAAATTTCCAAAGTGGCATTACTGAGCTTAAATATATGATTAAGTATCTGTTCTCTGGTCCTTTTGCACCTTTGCTTAGCAGCTGATTTTCTATTTGTCCTTTTCAGCATAACTTACATTTTTATGTTCCGTCATGACTTTGTTTTACAAGTGTTGTAGGGATTTTCAGTAAATATATCTTGAACTTGAATTTTTAAGAAGTACCATACCGTAAGTATAAGAAATTTAGAATGCTGCAGCAAGCACATATAGGGAAGGTACATCGACTATTACATAGAAAGGAATTTATTTTTGTCATGAGAATAATGTACTACAAAGAAAGTTAAAATCATAGTGGAGTTGCATTCACAATTATTTATACCACATCTCTTTCCTGGTCATTCACATGCTTTCACTATTGCATATCAATCTGTTCCAGAAATTTCTAACAGTAATGATCATTAATGTATATCAAGTAACTGCCATGTGACAGTGTTAAGCATTCTCCTCTATATTTTCTCATTTAATCCTTATAATGGCTTCCTGAGGAAGTGTTATCATTTTCTCCATTTTATCCATGAGGGCAATGAATCTTGAGGAAATTTAAGTCACTTGCTTAGGTAAGCTTCCATGTCTTACCAGACCTGATTCCAAGCCCAACTCACACTCAAAGGTTTGCTATTAGACCATCTCATTAGTAATCCATCACAATGGATTACTAATCCATCAGAAGATGGCATTGCTATTTTTTTTACCTAGTCACTATAACCCAGTCTTTACCTAGTCACTATTTCTTCCTTCACTTGTTAAGGAACTTTTCACCTATCTATCCATTCTCTTAGAACATGCAAACTCATGTCTCTATACCTGAGTATACATATCTCTGTTTGAAAAGGAGTGTGTTAGTATAAGTACTAGATATTTCTGATTATCTTTCTATTTAGGTATCAATTAACTTACCATCTACGACCTATGAAACCTTTGTATAAGTTAATGGTATACTTTTGGTGAGTAATTGGCTTTGTGGGTTGTTCCTGTGTATTTCATATGTACACATCTGAATCTATATGAAGATGAATATGGCAGTTTTGTGTTTTACTGGCTAAAGTACAGATAGGATGCCCTGGACACCCTAGCATCCAGCTTCCACTCCTCTTCTGTAATTCCAGGAAGAGGTGAATTCTTCAGAAATGTTATAGGGAACAGCAAACATCCTTCTAGGTAAAATATTTCAGCAAATGGATATACTGATTCAGTGGTTATTTTGTCTACCTGTATTTTTTGATGAAAAGTATACTTCTTTTTTTAAATTTTTATTGTTGGTTGTTCAAAACATTACATAGTTCTTGATTTATCATATTTCACACTTTGATTCAAGTGGGTTATGAACTCCCATTTTTACCCTGTATACAGATTGCAGAATCACATCAGTTACACATCCATTGATTTACATATTGTCATACTAGTGTCTGTTGTATTCTGCTGCCTTTCAAAAGTATACTTCTTAATCAACTCTGTTGATCAAGTAAATCACTTTGTAACTCATTCATATGAAAAATATTGTTGAACCATTCAGGATTACTTATGTTAGAACAAATAGTCATCAGATCTGTGATCCTCAGCCTCAGTGTGTCTAAGAATCATCTGGAATGCTTGCCAGCATTGTAGATCACTGAGTTTTATTTATCTTCAGGTTCTGATTCAGTAGAACTGAAAGAGGGCCAGAAATTTGCATTTTTAAATATGATCCTTGGGTGATCTCTGTGTTCCTGCATCTCCCTGAGAAATCCAGCTCTAATCACAAGGGGCTGTGCCTTGTGATTACTTTGCATTGAGTTGCTGTTTACACAAACTTCTGGTGGGCCTGCCAGTTAGTCTAACAGTATTGGACAGGTCTTATCTTCTTGAGTATTCCCTCTGTTGGGTGTTTCCTGGGTGTGTTTGCCTTGACTAATGCCTTTAAAACTTGCAGTTACCACAGTTCATTGACTAATGTGTTTAAATTCAGTGAATTGAGTAATTGCCACTTAATCCAATTACAGAGACAGGAAATGTTTCCTTTGTCTTCTAATCCCAACTAACACTGAAACTGTTTCTTTTTTCTCACTGGATTATTTGGTTTAATGAGAAGTTTTTGAACTGAAACTCAATGTACATGTAGCTCCAGGGAGCTCAACTACTTAGGTTACATTTGGGGGAAATTTAGTGATTCTCATTGTAATAAAGTGCTTGCCATTAATTTCCATCTTTTGGAAACAGAAAACTTTCAATTTTATTAGCTTTCCCAGATATTTTAAAAGCATTTTTAAAATTAACAAAATCCTTTAAACATAATTGATCTGTTTTTTAATAACTTATTTAAAATATGTCTTTCATACTAATCGGTTAAAGATAGTCAGTGCTCTTGAACCATAGAGTTTGTCTGTCATTTCTTTAATCATTGAAGCATGATGTTTTATAAATGTGTAATAGGGTCTTAAACATGTCCATATCTCCAACTGGGTCTACTCAGTAATTTATATCTAGTTGCTTAGTCAGTGATTTAAAAAAAATTTTTTTTTAGTTGTAGATGGACACAATACCTTATTTTATTTGTTTTTTAAATATGTGGTGCTAAGGATGGAACCCAGGGACTCACTCGTGCAAGGCAAGCACTCTACCACTGAGCCATAACCTCAGTCCCAGTGATCTTTTTTTTTTTTAACCAGATGTCTAATAGACATCGCAAAATTAATTTGTCGAAAACCAAATTCCTGATCTTTCCCCATGAATTTTCTCTTCTTAAAATAAGTCTTTCTCATCTCAGTTTATGGGAACTCCATTTTTATAGTTGCTCATGACAATAACTTAGGAGTCATCCTTCACATATCTCTCTGACATCCATATTTAATTGATTAAAAAGTAATTTCAGCAATGCCTTCAATATGTCTCCAAAGTCTAACCATGTCATACCACTCCATGGCTGCCAGTCTATTTCAAGTCACCATCTTCTTTAATTTAAAATGATTGCAGAAGCCTATTAGTTTCCTTACTGCTGCTCTTGGTGCACTTTAGTGTATAAGCATCCAGAGTAGTCCTTTTTAAGCCACTCCCACCTCTCTGGCCTCATCTCTTAGACTCTCCTCCTTATGATAGAACCACTCTGGTCTCAGCTATTATTTGAACACTCCAAATTTGCTCCTGGCTGAGAATCTTTGCATTTGCTTTTCCCTCTGTCTGGAATGAGTTTCTCTCAGATAAACCTCAAGGCTGTCTTCTTCATTTCCTTCAGGTCTTTATTTATATGCCACTTACTCAGTGAAGCCTTCCCAGACTACTAGATTTAAAAGTGCAAACAGTAGCCCTACCCTTACACAGTCACTATTGATCACCATTCCCTGGCTTATTTTCTATTTTACTTATTACCACCTGACGCATTGTACTTTTTACTTATACGATTTATTAGAATTTAAGCTTTATAAAAGAAGAGATTTTTACACTATTATATACAAATCCCTGGGATATAATGCTTAGAACATTTAGCACAGTGTCTGGAGTTTAGAAGTACTCATTATGTAATTACAGAATAAGCAGATCAAGAACTAGCTAGTTATTTTGTTCCAAAAGAAGACTGAAGATTGCAAAATTCTATGTTACCCAAGTTTATCATGACCCACACTGGCAATTCTAATACCAAGATAAAAATTTTTAAATATCATCCAAATAGTTATTCATTCATTGACTGATTTATCAAATATGATGTTAATTAATCTATCAATAACTATTTATAGTTTGCCTACTAACTGCCAAGTCCTTGACAAGGGTAAGGTTTTTTTTTTTTTCCTTATTATTCTAAAATGTATGTAAACAGTAAAGACAGGTCTGTTTTCCAGGTTCCTGCTATAATATTATTCGGGTTCCTCCAGAGAAGGTGGACCTTGGGGAAACAATACATGGAGCCCAGGTGATATGTTCTATTTCTTCTGAAGAGAAAATGAAACCTTCTTACTACCACAGCTTTGGTGAGTCCAGAGAGGAGGCAAATTGCACTGGGCCCTGTTTTGGCAAGTGCTGTGTTAATAGTTTGTTAAGAGTGTTGTGATAATACTAGGTTTGCATTTTAATACCAGCTAAGTTCATCTTATTTAGTCAAGCACTTCTTATGCTAGAAGAAGTGCTTGACTAAATAAAATGAACTTAGCTAACTGCTAGCTTTCTAACTTCAGTGCAAGAAATTACCAAAAAGTTAAGTGACAGTTCACAGTTTTGGCAACTTTAAAGCCCACAAGTAATCATCATACATGAAAAGGTCTAGACTATATATTTTGGGGCAAATTCATATTCTACACAGATTCCTTCAACTTCTATTCAGAATATTTATTTTCTGTATTTTAAATAGTTCTGGCCATGCTCCTAGGTGTATATATACCCCCAGTATAAATAGAAAAGGAATAAGGATAAATGTACAGGTCATAAATGACACTTTACTTTGTTCATAAACCAAAATAGTCTAAATATAAAAAAGATGTCAGATAAGCTGAGGACATTCAACCCAAGCTATTCTAAGCAGTTCCCCTTTTTATGTAGGAACAGGAAATATGTCTAGCAAAGCTGGGAAATAGTGAAGAAGTATTTCTGGCTGTCGTTTGTTTAGGTCAGCAATAATATGTCCAGGCACTGGTTCTGTAACTGTCACATTTCATACGATTCCAGTTTGCTAAATAATATTTTATTGTTTGATGGAACCTTTTAGGAATGACAAAGAACTATATAATCTTCATCGAACAGCCTCTAAAGATGAACCTGTGGAAAATTGTCACTTCTAAAATTCGAGGAAAGGCCTTTTCAGATGGGATAAGCTGGGAACCTCAGTATAATACCCGATTTTATGTGGTGGATAAACACACTGGACAGGTGGAGTATTTTGAGAATATTTATCATGAAAATGGTTGGACTCAAATGTGAATTTCCTTGTGGTTGATTTTTTTTAAATCGTCACCAGCATTATTTAAGACACCCTTAATCAAGAATATCACCTTCTTTTGTTGGTTGGGCTAGTTATTAATTACTACAGTGTATTTACATATTGGAAAATTATAGAAAATGTTTTTATTCTTTTAATTATCTGATTCAATTAAAATGGCATCTAGGAAACTCTCTTATCATGGATTTCCCTATCATAGTAGTTGCGAAAGAGAATAGTACTCATGAGAGATCCTCTGTAACTTTTGCAGTGATACTTCCATTAGTTCCTTCTGTGACTTATCAACATGTCAATATGATAACCCCACCAAAGTCCAAGCCATGTTAGTTGAATATCTTTTTATACTCCTGATTAATAACAGTGCTGTTACATTTTAACCTTTCCAAGTAGTACTATTCTAATTTTGCTCTACCTGAATTTCATTAAAAAATTTTAATAATGAGTGCATTACTTTGAAAAATAATTAATTCTTTGAAAAAAATTAGTTAATTAGTTAATAGGTTTACGAAGTAGTAGTATTTTCTATTTAACTATGTAGTTAAGAATTTATTTATCCTTTAAAACATTGGACCATATTTCATGAGGACTTTCTAATTAGTTGTTGCAGTTGACTGTTCTATATCAAATAATTAAGCAAGCAATTAAATTAAAGCACATTTGTTTCTACATTATGGATTCTACTTTTGTAACTACTGGGTGTACAATATAAGGAGTAGGGGTATCCTTAATTTGAATTTTGTGGATCTGTTCCCTAAAGGAAAGAAAAGAAAATGTTAAACCAACCAACCAACCTCAGTTTGTGTTTTCCCCTGCAGCTTCTTCCAGGGATGTACTACAGCAAACCTTTTATTACTTTTCATCAAATCAATGCCTTTGAGGATGAGGGCTGTATTATAATTGATATGTGCTGTCAAGATAATGGAAGAAACCTAGATATTTACCAACTACAGAATCTCAGGAAATCTGGGGAAGGGCTCGATCAGGTAAACGTCACTGATTTGTCAGTTGGCAGGATAGCTGTGATGCAGTCAAAATCTGGCTTTGGCTTTGGAATTATCCGTTTCCCTTGCCCTCTTGTAGCAAACAAGGAGGGAGAGTAGTTTTAGAGCATTGAAGATACAGGTTTGTCATTTGTTTATTTAATATTAAAAAATAATTTGAAGTAGCTTACTTAATGCTTAGTAAATAGAAAACATGGTAAAGACAGCTAAGATAGGTGCTGTGAAGCCATTGTGAGTAGTTCTATATTACATTTAAGCACTGAATATATTGAACATTTGCTGGAAGGATATTAAAATGGACCACCAGTGTATTAGTTCATCTGGCTGAAGAGATTCACTTTTTCCTGATACTAAATACAAGGTAAAACTTGCTCTTGTATTATATAATATAAATTTGCTTTGTCTTTAGTTTTACTTTTCATTTATAGTTTTATTTTAAAATATCTTAAAACAGTACCTATTAATAAGTTTACCTATACTTCCTAACTATTTATAGCTTTATGTAGGTTCTGATATCTGTAGTTTAAGTTTTTTAGCTGTTTTCATTTTTAAAATTGCCTGTGTTTTTCTTAGCTCTCTGTATACCCATAAATTTTCAAATCAATTTGTCAGTTTTTGCAAAGGAAAAAAACCTGACTGGGATCATTGCAAGTATATGTCAACTTGAGGATGACTGTTATCTTTACAGTGTTGAGTCTTCTAATCCATGAATGTGGAATATTCCTCCATTTATTGGGGTCCTGTTTAATTTCTCTCAGTAATGTTGTACTTTTCATTATAAGGATATTACATATCTTGTTGTTTTTTTTGGGAATGGCTTACTTTACTTAGCATTATATTCTCCTACTCCATCCATTTACCTGCAAATGCCATGATTTTATTCTTTTTTAATGCTGAGTAGTATTCCATTGTGTATATATACCACAGTTTCTTTATCCATTCATCTACTGAAGGGCAACTAGGTTGGTTCCACATTTAGCTATTGTGAATTGTGCTGCTATAAACATTGATGTGGCTGCATCCCTATTGTATTTCATTGCTTGAAATTGATCTGTTTAACTTGTGTATATCATCCTGATTCAGTTAGGGCAAATCATATGACTCTGAAATTTGTCAATGCCTTCAATATTTTCTGTTTTATTGGAGTACAAATTTCCAAAATAATTTCTAATTATCTTCTGTATTTCTATAGTGTCTGGTGTGATATTTCATTTTTCATCATGTATGTTAGTAATTTGAGTTTTCTCTCTCCTTCTGTTTGTTAGCATGGCTAAGGGTTTATTAATTTTATTTATTATTTTCAAAGAACCAATTTTTTGATTTGTCATTTTTTTTCAATTGTTTCTTTTGTTTCCATTTCATTGATTTCATTTATTTCCTGTCTTCTACTGCTTTTGATGTTGATTTGTTCTTCTTTTTCTACGGCTTTGAGATGTAGTGTTAGGTCATTTATTTGTTGACTTTTTCTTCTTTTAAGGAATGAGATCTATGCAATGAACCTTCCTCTTAGTACTGCCTTCATAGTGTCCTAGAGATTTCAATATGTTGTATCAGTGTTCTCATTTACCTCTAAGAATTTTTTAATCTCCTCTTTGATGCTTTTTGCAACCCATTGTTCATTTAATTACATATGATTTAGTCTCCAGGTATTGGAGTAGCTTCTATTTTTTATTTTATCATTGATTTATAGTTTCATTCCATTATGATCTGATAGAATGCAGTGTAGTATCTCTATCTTTCTATCTCTCTCTTTTTTGTATTTGCTGAGACTTGCTTTGTGGCATAGTATATGGTCTGTTTTAGAGAAGGATCCATGTGCTGCTGAGAAGAAAGTGTATTCTCTTGTTGAAAGATGAAATATTCTATATATGTTAGTTAAGTCTAAGTTATTTATTGTGTTATTGAGTTCTATATTTTCTTTGTTTAGCTTTTGTTTGGAAGATCTATCCAGTGGTGAAAGAGGTGTGTTAAAGTCACCCAGGATAATTGTGTTGTTGTCTATTTGACTCTTGAACTTGAGAAGAGTTTGATAAATGGAGATGCTCCATTGTTTGGGACATATATACATATATTTATAATCGTTATGTCTTGTTGATGTATGGTTCGCTTAAGCAGTATAAAATGTCCTTCTTTATCCCCTTTGATTAACTTTGGCTTGAGGTCTACTTTATTTGATATGAGTATGGAAACACCTGCTTGTTTCCATAGTCCATGTGAGTGGTATGTTTTTTCCTAACCTTTCACCTTCAGTCTGTGCGTGTCTTTTTCCTATGAGCTGAGTCTCTTTAAGGCAGCATATATATATATTTTAAATCCAAACTGCCAGTCCATGTCTTTTGATTGGTGAGTTTAGGCCATTAATGTTCAGGGTTATTATTGAGACATGATTTGTTTTCCTGGTAATTTTTGTTTATTTTTGGTATTTAACTTGACTTGGTTTCTCCTTTGTTTGGTTTTTCCTTTAGTATAAAGGAAAAAAAAATGCACCCCAAGGATCTCCTTTGGAGCTGGCTTGTGTGATGTGGGCCTGTGGTCTTATCTCTTTATATTGTCTGTAAACCTCACAATTCCTAGTCCCTAATTTAGTTTCTAAACTGTATCTCACTCACCCCTTCCATTTCTACTTACCAATAAGGAACCTTTCTCTCTGGAGTCTTGTGGGCTACGCACCTGTCAGAGAGCAGTTGGTCAGGACCAGGTTTTGCGAGATATGGACTGGCTACATAGCCGCAATTACTGTGCCAGGTTAGCTGTCTGGAAGAGGAGGGAGTTGGGGATTTTAAGTACCTTGATATTGCTTCTAAGCCCCAGCCAGTGTTCCAAGCTGGGGGTTGCCCCAACTAAAGATGGTGACGAAGGTGTCCCAAGATGGAGGCGGCTGCTTTCACCCATGGGTGCCAGGTTGGGTGGGGCTGGGTGGTGGCAATGTACTGTGTGTTCAGAGATGCAGCTCTGTGGCATGTAGTGTTGTGGCTGGCAGCTGTCTCCGGACCCTGTGCAGTGTCCCCAGGTGCAGGCTACTGCATGTAGGGGACTATGGTTGTGGTTGCTGTGTCCCAAGATGGAGGCCACAGGCAGAGCCCCACATTGGTAGATGGGCTTCCACATGGGAACTGTAGCCAGCAATCCTTCATGTGGGCAGCAGTCAGGAGTCTTGCGCAGGCGCTGATGCTGATGGTCCTTCTTGGGTACCAGGAGGTCCTACGTGGGAGAGTGGACAGGAGTCCTGTGCTGGCACTGCAGCCATGATTCCTCAATGGAGGAGCTCTCAGGGGTCCACTAATCACTTGCAGAGAAACAGTATTCCCACTACTTGAATCCCAGGTCACAGAGTGACACAGAATGCAGCCTCTCTCTAGTCTGCCATCTTGAATCCTCCTCAGCAACTGATTTTTATTCATCTTGTAGTCAATAATGTAAGGGTCTTATAAATTCTAAAAATCCATAGATTCTTTTAGATTTTCCATATCACTATCTTTATCATATGCAAAAAAAGACATTTTCTTTTCTTCCTTTCTAAACTGTTTATTTGATCTTTTCTTTTCCTTGTCTTATGTCACTGGATCTCCAGTACATTATTGAATGTAAGTGGTGATAGTGATGTCCTTGTCTGAGTCCCAATCTGAGAGGAAAAGCTTTCAGCATTTTATCATTAAGCATGCTGTTTACTGTATATTAAAATAAGTTAATAGATTTATGTTTTAGAGAAGTTTTAGGTTTAAAGAAAAAATTAAGAAGAAAGTATAGAGAGTTTCCATATATTCCCTCTCCAACCAGTCCCCCCCCCACTAACATCTTGCATTGTTATGGTACATTTGACAAAACTGATGAACCAATACCGATTATTACTAGCAAGTCCATAATTTACATTGGAGCTCACTCTTTGTCTTAACTAATCTTTTTGCTATATCTATAGTTTTGTCTATTCCAAAATATCATATAGATGGAATCATATTATCTATAAGCTTTTCAGACTGACTTGTTTTAGCAGTATGCATTTAAGGTTCCTCCATGTCTTTTTATGTCTTGATAGCTCATTTCTTTTTATAATTGAGTAATATTCTCTTGTACTAAAGTTGAGTATCCATTCCTCTACAGAACATCTTGTTTGCTTATAATTTTCAGTGATTGTGAATAAAGCTGTTATAAACATTTGTGTGCAGGTTGTGCATGAACATAAATTATTAATAAATTTTAAAATGAAGACACACTTTATTGGATTAGGAAAGTATCCTTTTATTCCTATATTATTAAGAATTTTATCATGGATGGATATTGGATATCATCAAAAGTTTTTCTGCACTGCTGAGATAATAACATAAATTTTATCCTTTATCCCATTAATGTGGTAAAGTAGAATGATTCTTTTTTATTTTTAATTTTTAGGTGTAGTTGGACACAATGACTTTATTTTATTTATTTATTTTTATGTGGTGCTGAGGATCAAACCCAGGGCCTCACACATGCTGGGCTAGTGCTCTACCGCTGAGCTACAACCCCAGCCCACAATGATTGATTCTTAAGGAATGTTTAGAACAGTCATTGATTGAATTTTGAATTTTACTTCCATTCCTAAAGTAAATTCCAGTTGGTTGCATGGTATTTGCTTTTTTTTTTTTTTTTGTATTTTCTTTTCAATGCATTGGTAGATTTGCATTGCTAATATTTAAATATTGCTAATAATTTACATGTGTTCATGAATAAAATTGACTTGTAATTTTTTTCTATAATGCCCTTATAAGGTATGGGTTTCAAGGTTTTGCTGATCTCAGACAAGTTGGAAATTTTTCTTTCTTTTTCTTCTTTCTGGTGAGATTATATAGAATTGGCATTATTTCTTAAATTTTTTGTAATAATTTAATAGTAAAGCCTTTTGGGCCTGTGAATTTCTCCACAGATAAACCTTAAATTATGAATTCTATTTTTAATGGTATAGGATTATTCCAATTCTCTGTTTCTTATTGTGTCATATTTGGTAAATTGTGTTTTTGTAGAAATTAATCCATGTCATCTAAAACTTCAATTTTATTGGTAGAAGTTACCTATACTATGATCATCTGGTATTTTTTAGATGCATGTAGTCAATTGATGGGCTGCCCTACCCCTTCTCACATTTTTTTTTTTTTATTCCTAATATGGTTGTTTTCATTGTCTGTCTTGTTTGTTTAGCTTGTCAGGATCTAATTGATTTAATAAGGCTTTTCCAAAAGATCATCTTTGTGATTTTGTTGATATTCTTTAATGTGTGTGCGTGTGTTTTCAGTTTTACCATTTTTTTCTCTTATTATTTTCTTTTCTGCTTTCATCATGCTGATGTGCTACAGTTATTTTAACTTAGTTTGTTGTTTTTCATCTTTTTTCCTTCTAGCTTAAACTTTCGCTGTTGTAAATTTTTCTCTAAGAGAGCTTTAGCTGCACGCCACAAGTTTTGATGTATTTTATTACTTTTTAAATTTTAAGTTAAAGCATTTTCTGATTTTCACTGACTTTTCTTCTTTGAAATACATACCTTTATTTCTTTCTAAAAAATTTTATTTGTCCTTTTTAGAAATACCTGACCGTAGAGTATATTTTGACTTATTTATACAAACATGAAGTATTTCTTTATTTCTTATTCTCAAACATACAGGGATTTTTCTGGGTTGTTTTTGTCACTGATTTCTAGTTTAATTTTACTGTATGATTTTAATACTTTGCAATGTATTGAGATTTGCTTTAAGAGCCAAAGTAAGTTCATTTAAAAAATGTACCATCTTAGGGGCTGGAGCTGTAGATCAATGATAGAGCACCTCCCTCGCCGGTGTGAGGCACTGGATTTGATTTTCAGCATCACATAAAAATAAATAAATACAGATATTGTGTCCATCTACAACTAAAAAAATGCCGTATTAAAAATATGCATCTTAAAAGGAGATATATTCTGTATTTTGGATGTAATTTTCATGTTTGTCAATTGGATAACATTGGCTAATAATATTCAAATGTTCTCTGTCCTTATTGATTTCTGATCTATTGGTTATTAAAAGATATATTTTAAAATATCATATAGATTTTTTTGTTTAATCCATATAGTCCTTCTAATTTTTGCTTTAACATATTTGGTGCTCTGTTATTATGTGCATATGAATTTAGAATTGTTTTACTTTTCTAGTTTGTTGAATATTTACCTCTGAACAATGTTTTTTGTCTTAAAATTTACTTTTTACTTGCTGTTTGCGGGCTATAACTTTTCTATCCTTTTACTTTTAATCTTTCAAAATTTGTATTTGTAAGCAGCATGTATTTTAAAAATCCACTGTGGTAATTCCTTACTTTTAATTGAGCTATTTAGTTGAATCAAGCACTAATATATCAGGGTTTAAATATGTCATCTTGCGATTTGTTTCTTATTTGTATAATGATTATTTTTCTCCTCTTTTTTCACCTTCTCTACATTTTATTTTTTAATTTGCCTCTCCACTCCCCCAAACCTTGCCCATTACTTTGGTAGTTTTATGTTCTTTGAGCAATTATTTTAGAGACTTAAATATATAAGCAATTATTAAAATACATTGTAAATTGGTCTTTTTACTTCTTGTCAGACAATGCAAGGACTCTGCAGTACTTTAAGTCCCTTTGTTTACTCCTGGCTTATATTCTACTCTACTTGTATATTTTAATTCTCTCTCTTTTTTAAATACTAAAAGGCATTATTATTATCATTTCCTTATGTAATCATAATTATCCATACTACCCCTTTTGACCTCATTTATACCTTTTTTATTGCTTTTAATTCTTCCTAGTCTTTCAGACATTTCTATCTGGAAACATGTTCTTCTAACTAAAGAACATCCTTTGGTAATTGTTCTATTTCAGATATGCTCGTACATGAATCTGCATATTTTACATACATACATCCTTTTGTGTATGACTTATTTTACATACATAATATTTTCAAAATTTATTCATATTGTAGCATGTATCAGAATTTTGTCCCTTTTTTAGGTTGAATATTTTTCTGTTTGATTCTGCATTTTGCTATCTGTTCATCTATTGATGGATATTTATTTGTCAGAAAAAATGTATTTTTGTTCCTTCTTGGAAGAATGTTTTTATGGATAAAGAACTCTAATTTGTTAGTTATTTTCTTTTTTTAAAAAAAAAATTTTTCTTTTAATAATTTTTTAGTTGTCAATAGACCTTTATTTTATTCATTTATATGTGGTGCTGAGAATTGGACCCAGGGCCTCACATGTGCTAGGCAAGTGCTGTACCACTGAGCCACAACCCCAGCCCTGTTGTTAATTATTTTCTTTGAACCCTTTTAAGATATCATTTTATTGTCTTCTGATTCCTGTTGAGAAATCATTTGTTAATCTAATCTTTGTTTCTTTGAGTTTATCTTTTTCTCTCCTCTGGCTGCTTTAAAATTTTTCTCTCTGTTTTTTAAAAAGCTATAATATCTTAAATGCTTTCCTTTTAATTTTTTCACTTGGATTTTTAAGGATTCTTGAATATATTGTCTGATGTCTTTCTATAATTTTGAAACATTTCACCCATTAGTTCTTCAAATATTGCATATGGTAATATTTGTACTGCGAGCAATGAGTATTCCCATGTCTGGCAGCTGTAACTCAACTTTATAGCTGAAGCTTTATTCTTATTCCTGGAATACAGATCTATGAGGTCCCACTTCAAAGAACTGGAAGTTTGCCTCAGGGATATTATGAAGACACTACCATTTTCTCCTTTTTAGGGGGACTACAGTACACTTACATTAGTACTTTTCACCCTATCCTTCTGTCATTTTATTCCTATTAGTATTTTCTATCCTTGTTTCTTTCTAAGCATTTTCTTGGGGGGTTATTTTTTTCTACTGCCTTAGTATCTAAAAATTCTTTCTTCATCTGTGCATTTTTGGCCATTAAACCTAATCACTAAATTTTTAAGTTAATTGCATCTGGGAGTGGTCATGTAGGAATATAGCCCCTACAGGACAAATTTTAGTTACTAAAGTTCCAGACTGCCAGGAGAATTCAGGTGTTTGTTTCAGTTACATTGTTAGCATAAAATACCTGTGTGATTCAAGGCTTCACACACACACACACACACACACACACACACACACACACACACAACATTCCAAGAACTCAGCTCCCAGGACTCAGCCAAGGGTTAGTCATGAAAACAGGCATTTCTCAACAATATGCAGGGGTTGAGCAATCCAGGCCTGAAGGTTGATCCTTTACTTCACAACCAATCTGAAGTAGAGAGCACCTCTCCTTGCTATTTAGTCCTGCAGACCTCTGGCTTTAATCATTTGGTCATCTGAAGCCAATTAAATAACATATATTGTATAATTTTAATATTTATTATTATTCTGCTACTAGAATAAGTTGCATGAAGCCAAAGACTTTGCTTTGTTCACTGCATATCCCCAGTGTCTAAAATAGTAATTAACCTATGGTAGATAGTCAACAAATATTTGTTGAATGAATGAATGGAAATTATTGTTTATATAATTACTTAAGAATGCCAATAATGTTGACTGCATCCAAATTATTGGGGTGTGCTGTAATCCTATTATGTATGACAATTTTTCATCTGTTTATTTCTGTCTCCTCAACAGGTCTATAATTCGGTAGCCCTATCTTTCCCTCGAAGGTTTGTGTTGCCCTTACATATCAGTGAGAATGACCCTGCAGGAGAGAACCTCAGTCCATTGTCCTATTCTTCAGCCAGTGCTGTGAAACAGAGTGATGGGAAGGTATGCTATGAATGGACAGTAGACTAAAACTTTGACTTCAGTGGTGTTACTTTAGTCTTTGGCTCTTCTCCAGAATGTTTTTGGTGCCCAATAGGTTTTATAACATTTAGCTGAGCAGGGTAAGGTCATGAAACCTTGCTTACACAAGAATCATAGAAACTGAGTAGGAATGAACACTGTGTTGACTATCCTTTTTGTGTTTTGAAACAGATATATAAACTTTCTAATTGTTGTGCATTGTCTAATCATTTGAGATTATCATTGACCATCTCACCTTCTAGATGAGTTGCACTTACCACAGACATATCAATGTGCAGCCATCAATGTCTTTAGTGGAATAAAAAGCTACTTCCGTCTCCCATGTCACTTGACAACTTATTCACAAAATCTGATAATGTTCTATGCAGTCATGATGGAAAGAGTAACAATATAAAAATGATATGTCACTGACCTACACTAAAGAAAATAAATGACAATTAAACAACCACTTCAGATCCTTTTGGGACCTCTTTTAGATCTGGTGCTCTCATGAAAATCTACATCATGAGGACCTAGAGGAAGAAGGAGGCATTGAATTTCCTCAGATCAACTATGGCCAGTTCAGTGGCAAAAAGTATAATTTCTTCTATGCCTGTGGCTTTCGGCATTTGGTGGGGGATTCTCTGATGAAGGTTGATGTGGTAAACAAGTCACTGAAGGTAACAAAAACCTTTATCTTTTTCTGAAATTTTCATAGACCTTTTCTGTCCTTAGAATTAGTTTGCTTTGCTTAAGGTCATTCTTGATAGTTTAATATTTAAACAGCTAAACCATTTTCTTTTCCTAAGTTTGAGAACCATGGAATCATCTGGGATGTGGGTATGGGGCTGGGGTTGTGGCTCAGTGTAAGAGCATATGTGAGGCACTGGGTTCGATTCTCAACACAACATATAAATAAATAAATAAATAAATAAATAAATAAAGGACCATTGATAACTAAAAAATATTAAAAAAAAGAAAAGTGAATATGTTTCCTTTAGGAAATCTAAATGAACACCAAACCCAGAAAAACCAATTCTATGTTTGATGTTATTGTAGGAGAATATGTGAGGTTGAGGTTGTTGGAAAAATATTTCAGGTTGATGGGAAATTATAATCACACAAATAATGTTTGATGGTGATGGAATCTGGGGCTGCCAAAGCTTCCCAATCCTCTCCTGTATTCAACTCAGCCTGATTTTTTTTTATTGTTGCAATATTCTATCAACAGCCACTTCATACTGGGAGTAACAGAAGCTATAGAAAGCTTCCCACCATGAATGGCCTTTTATAAAATACTTTTTTTGGACTTTGCAGGTTTGGAGAGAAGATGGCTTTTATCCCTCAGAACCTATTTTTGTTCCAGTACCAGGAGCTAAAGAAGAAGATGATGGAGTTATTCTTTCTGTGGTGATCACTCCCAAGCAGGTAATATATTTCCCTAACACCAGTCAGAAAAAAAGTAGCATTGAGTTGTTTGAGGATGATATTGAATGATGCAGTCCATAGTTTATTTTGATTCCTATATGGCACCATCTTCCTTTTCTTCCCCTTCTTACCTTTGACCAATCCTTTTATCAAGGTCTATACTTTATTATTGTTTTAAAGTTCTATTTGTAGAATCATAATAATAACTCACATTTGCATAGGAATTTGTTATTTACAAAGTATTTTTTTGGGAGGGTACTGGGGATTGAACTCAGGGGCATTTGACCACTGAGCCTCATCCCCAGCCCTGTTTTGTATTTTATTTAGAGACAAAGTCTCACTGAGTTGCTTAGGGCCTCACTTTTGCTGAGGCTGGCTTTGAACTCTCAAGCCACTGGGATTACAGGTGTGCACTACAAAGTGCTTTAATCATAGTATCTTAGTTATCAAAGCAACTTTTTGGGATTCCACTTTAAAAATATGGAATTTATAGCTTAAAGTAGTTGAAGGAGACTTGTAGCAGATCTCCTAGTGGTAAAGCCAGTATGTAAGTCTACTGGCTTCTTGTCTAATATTTATATAATTTTTATGTTGCCAGTTATGTTGCCAATTATCTATATTGCCAGTTTCAAAGTCCTGACCTCAAAGTCCAATATCCTAAGCCCTGGCATAGTATCTCAATACTGTTATTTACTGAATGACTTCCTTGTCAGGGGCAATATAATGGCAAATAGGTTCACTTTGAGTACCAGCTTTGATCATTTATTAGTGGCTGCCTAGGGTATAGGATTCTTGGCCATGAAATGGTTTGGTGGAAAAATACTGTGATTAATTAGTAATATGTGCCAAGGGTTTGGTCCTCATGCCATACATGTGGCACTCATGTAATTAGATAAGGGCAATCTCAGTCTGCTTTGCAATGCTGCTCTTTGAACAGCTCTAAAGTAACACAAAAATTGAGGCATTTCTAGTTCAGAAGAAAAAATTTCTGTGTCTCTTAGGGGATTGGAAAGGGCCAGGTAAAATGACTGTTAGATTCAAAGAGATCCTATGAAGGTGACTGATGTAAAGAATTTAATTTGCTTTAAATGTAAAAATACTCAGCCACAATTTTATTTTCAGTCGAGTTCAGCAATTCAGCAAACATTTAGTGAGTGAATAGGTGAGGCATTGTACTAGATGCTGATGCTAGATAAATAAAGTGAATAAGACATGGTCTCTTTCTTAGGAACTTTATCACCCAGAGGAGATAGACTGATTTTTGAAGGGAATGTTCATATTGTCTTTCCTTTTCTAGAATGAAAACAATTTTCTTCTTGTCTTGGATGCCAGGAACTTTGAAGAACTTGGCCGAGCAGAGGTACCTGTGCAAATGCCTTATGGGTTCCACGGCACATTTGTACCTATCTGATGGGATAACTTCAAGGTCTGGGAACTAGATTTAAAGTGAATGTACTCTGTGGAAAAGAGAGAAGAAGGCATCTTACTTCCCAAACCACAGACTTTGGTTTTAAGTTTCCTATTAAAAACAGAATTTGTAAGAAAATTATGGTTTTATATTTTCTTAGGGATTGTCCTTGAAATCATTAAGCAAGGGTAATATAGCCTTTTGAGAAGAGTTTTAAATATACATTTATTGGATATATTTCCCTCTAGCTAATAATAAGAATACATGAAAGAAAACTAAAATGGAGTCCTTGCCACCATCAGATAGATGGATGAGGTATGTTCAGTAGTACATTATAAAAGTCATTGTAAAGGCTATCTATGCTAAGCCCAAGGCCAACATTATTCTAAATGGAAAAAAAATTGAAAGCATTCCCTCTAAAAACTGGAACAAGATATGGATGCCCTCTTTTACCACTTCTATTCAACATAGTCCTTGAAACTCTAGCAGAGCAATTAGATGAAAGAAATTGAAGGACTATGAATAGGAAAAAAAGAACTCAAACTATCACTATTTGCCAATGACATGGTTCTATATTTAGAAGATCCAAAAAATTCGACCAGAAAACTTCTAGAACTAATAAATGAATTCAGCAAAGTAGCAGGATAGAAAATCAGTACCGATAAATCAAATGCATTTCTATACATCAGTGATGAATCAACTGAAAGAGAAATTGGGAAAACTACCCCATTCACAATAGCCTCAAAAAATACTTGGGGATTATTCTAACAAAAGAGGTGAAAGACCTCTACAATGAAAACTACAGAACACTAACGAAAAATTGAAGAACTTAGAAGATGGAAAGGTCTCCCATGTTCTTGAACAGGCATAATTAATATTGTCAAAATGGCCATACCACCAAAAGAGCTACACAGATTTAGTGCAATTCCTATGAAAGTTCTGATGACATTCTTCCTTTTTTTCTAAAATTTTAGTTGTAGATGGACACAATACCTTTATTTTATTTATTTATGTGGTGGTGAGGATTGAACCCAGTGCCCATGCATGAAAGGCAAGCGCTCTACCACAGAGCTACAACCCCACCCATGATAACATTCTTCTTAGAAATAGAAAAAATAGTCATGAAATTCCTTTGGAAAAATAAGAGGCCCAGAATAGCCAAAGCAATCCTCAGGAAGAATAATAAAACAGGAGGCATCACAATACCAGAGCTTAAACTATACTACAGAGCAATAGTAACAAAAATGGCCTGGTATTGGCACTAAAATAGACATGTAGACCAATGGTACAGAATAGAATACACAGAGACAAATCCACATAAATATGGTTTTCTCAAACTAGGCCAAAATGCCAAAAACATACATTGGAGAAAAATAGCCTCTTCAATAAATGGTGCTAGGAAAATTGGAAATGCACATATAGCAAAATGAAATTAAAACTCTGTCTCTCACCCTGCACAAAACTCAAAGTGGATCAAAGACTATGACACTAGAACAGAGACCCTGCCCTAACAGAAGAAAAAGTAGGCCCAAATCTTTATCCTTAACAAGAGTCCTTAAAGTTCAAAAAGTAAAATCAAGAATCAATTCCTGGGGATTGCGGTTGTGGCTCAGCAGTAGAGCGCTCGCCTAGCACGTGCAAGGACCTAGGTTTGATCCTCAGCACCACATAAAAATAAATAAAGGTACTATGTACAACTAAAAAATAAATATTTTTTTAAAAAAGAATCAATTACTGGGATGGATTCAAACTAAAAAGCTTCTTCTCAGCAAAGGAAATAATCAATAATGTGAAGAGAGAGCCAACAAAATTAGAAAAAATCTTTACCACATGCATCTCAGATGGAGCATCAATCTCCAAGATATATAAAGAACTCAGAAAATTTAACAACAATAAAAACCAAATAACCCAATGAATAAATGGGCTAAGGAACTAAATAGATACTTCACAGAAGAAGAAATAAAATTGATCAACAAATAAAAAATGAAAAAATGTTCAACATCTCTAGAAATTAGAGAAATGCAAATCAAAACTACTCTAAGATTTCATCTCCAGTCAGAATGACAATTATCAAGAATACAAGCAATAATGTGGTTGTGCAACCACCCTGGAAAGCAGTATGAAGATTCCTTGGAAAACTTGGAATGGAACCACCATTTGACCCAGTCCTAGGTTTATATCCAAAGCTCTTAAAATCAGCATACTACAGTGACACAACCACATCAATGTTTATAGCAGCTCAATTCACAATAGCTAAGCTATGGAACCAACCTAGGTGCCTTCAACAGACGAATGGATAAAGAAAATGTGGTACATATACACAATGGAATATTACTCAGTCTTAAAGAAGAATGATATTATGGCATTTGCAGGTAAACGGATGGAGTTGGAGAATATCATGCTAAGCGAAATAAGCTAACATTTCCAAACCAAGGCTGAATGTTTTCTCTGATAAGTGGTTGCTGATTCATAATTGGGGGGTGGTGGTGGTAGGGAAGAATGGAGGAACTTTGGATTGGGCAGAATAGGGTGAGGGGAGGGGAGGAGGTATGGGGGTAGGAATGATAGTAGAATTAATTGGACATTATTAAGCTATATGTGTATATGATTACATGATCTTTGTAATTCTACATCATGTACAACCATAAGAATGAAAAGTTATACTCCATTTATGTATGATGTATCAAAATGCATTCCACTGTCATGTATAACTACTTAGAAAAAATAAAAATTAAAAAAATATAGGTGGATGACAGAGGTCCTGTGAGAATTATAAGTGATCATAGATAGTAGGCTTAGATCCAGATCTGAAAAGCACCTTGTTCTCTCCATCACAACCAGCCTGTTATCATTGTCTAAGGTATGGATAGCAGGAAGCTAGCCCATTCATGCTTGGAGGCCTTCTCTAAACTGGCTCTTTCTCTGCTGTCCACTGCAGATGCTACTGTAATTGTTGACCCTCCTGCAGACTACCTTCTCTCATCCCCACCTTTTCCCAGCTCAGCCTTTGGAGGTGGTTGTTATGACTAAAACCAGTCATTTCTTCTAATCTCCAGGTAATAGTTCTTAGAGATGGATGAAAAGCCAGTAGTTCTTTATTTAGTTGGGCAACAGGTGGCACTAGAGACCATATAATCTCCACATTTCTAAACCCCAGCAGTTTTTACCAGAAGCCTTAAGGAGCAGAGTAAACCACACTCTTGCCAACACCCTCAAAACCCCTAGTTTTATTTCCCTTCAGCTACACCCCCTTCCCCTGAGTGAACCCCAATCTTGGGCTAGTTAAACTGTCCAGGCTCTGTCTACATATTGATTGTTGTTGAAGAAGGCTGCCAAACATGTAATTTGGGGGCACCTATGAACTCCTAGTTAGGTTTTCTGTATAGTCCTGGACCAACATAATTGGTTTCCTCTTTAATTTTTCTTAAGAGTTATTTCAAACTTCACAAACCCTGAGCTCTTTAGTGAAGCATTCAAAGCATATAAATGTCTTGTGTGGGGCGTTTGTATTGTGACAACAAGTAAAAGGGCCAAGAACCATGTCTGGTTTTGTGAGATGCAAAACACAAAAGCATCTATAGAATGGCAAGAAGGGGTTAACAGAACCAATGTAGCAGATGAGGAAGCGAAGAGCCCAAGGCAGTCATGAAGCATAAGTTCTGATAAGTTCACAGAAGTCCCTGAAAAGGCATTCATTGTACTTTCTCAGACAAATTAGGGAAGTTTAATCTATCAGCTAGACATGGGTAAAGATGACTCTGGTTGACCTCTGGGAAGCATACAGATCTGATGTCATCATTCCTCTGTTTTATATTTCTTACTCCATTCATATACAGGGAGTGATGTTCAAATATACAAACGCTGGCAGTATACTCATAAGATTTTTGACTCAAGGATGCCTGAGTTTTGCCTTGGCCCTGCCAAGGTTCCTGAAGAAGACACACACACAAAACAAAACAAAACAAAACAAAAAAAACCCAAATTACACACACACACACACACACATACACACACACACCAAAGAAAAAGATAAAAAAGATCAATGGCATTGTATAATCTAAGCACTGTGCCTGGTAATACAATGCAGAAAGTTCCAGTAAATTGAGCATATAACTAAGGTGCAGCACAGAGGTAGGGCCTCTTCCCTAGCCCATCAATCACTAGCCAGGTTCCAGAGACTCAAAGAAAGGGAGTATATAGTGTATGAGTGAGGGGAAAAGAAGAGAGATGATCAATGCCTGGGTTAGAAGAAATATGAATGCCAATGATAGCAGGCTTAGAATCTAGACCTGAAAAGCAGCACACAGGGGCAAGAAGCAGAAGAGAAGGTGAATTAGATGGCCAGGACTACAAGAGGTGAGGAGTTTGGGCCCAGTCCCCCCTCCCCACGGGAACATAGTTCCAGACCATAAGCCACAGCCATCTTTGGTACTTTCACACATTCTTACCTTGCCTGTGAGTAAAGAAGGCTCAGGAAATGTACCTGGAAATGATTCAAGAAATGAAAATTCCCTTTTATTGGAGAGAAATGAGGAAGGAGATAGTAGGCGGGTGGAGCCTTCTTTCCTTTATACTTAAAGAGGGACATTCACAGCCCTTCAATAATTTGGTCTCCAATGTTTACAATATCATCTCTCACCCAGTCTCTATTGTAACCAATAACTTGTCAATAGGCACTAAATGAGCTACATTTATGTGGAAATTTTCCACATTTCCCTTGTTCTTGCCATCTTCTTCCTACAATTGTTACTTATCCATCTGGTAAAGTCCTTTAAAAATCCAGTTCAGCTTCTCTCTGAAGCCTTCCTTTACCTTCTGAGACAGAACTAGTCTTTTTTAGTTTGTCATGATATTATTTCTTTTTGACTCGTCCACTAACTGAACTTTATGTTCATTATTCATCATTATGTTATTCTGGCATAAGTGTCTGACATTAGGATGTTGAGTAAACATTTTTTAACTTATTGAGTAAATAAGGGCTGGAGGGTGATGGCTATGGGGGTTACAAGCTAATATGTGTCCATTTCACTATCTTATGGGTCCTCTTAATAGGAGCTGATAGGAGCTGCCTCTGAGTAAAGAAACCTGAGAAAAGGAACCAAGCACAGAGCTAGTAGATCTTGTGTGAGTGAAGCAGGAATTATAGCTGAAAGATGCAAGTGTGACATTAAGGTTGGTTTGTTCCTTCCAAGGGCTGTGAGGGAAGGATTTGTTTTCAGGCCTCTCTCCTTGATTTGTAGATGGCATTGTCCCTGTACTTGACATGGCATTCCCTGTATATGAGTCTGTCTCTGTGTAAAATTTTCCCTTTTTATTATTAACTTATTTTATTGAGATGGGGTCTTACTATGTTATTTACTTATTTTTATTGTTTGGGCTGGCCCCTAACTCTGAGACTCAAGCCATTCTTATGTGTCAGCTTCCTGAATAGCTGGGACTACAAGTATGTACTGATTACCACACTTGACTATTTTCCCTTTTTATAAGGTTATCCACTCGTCATCTTCAATTGGGGCCCACACTAATGACTGCATCTCACCTAATTACATCTGCAAAAACCTTCCCAACCTATATTCAGAGGGTCTATGGGTTAGAACTTAAATTTATGATTTTGGGAGGAGTTTCAATACAACTTTAACTGGACTATTGAAGGTGAATTTGGTGAATACCTTTGTGTAGAATTAGCTTGAACAAATTAGAGGAAAGACTGCAAATGCAATGAAATATTTTACTAAAACGTGTAATTAAAACAATTTCTCATAAATTCCTTCTGTTTTTGTATATTCTATTTAAAACATTTTCAGAATGAGTGAAGTGTGTAACCATTGATTATTAGAGAGCATATAGCTGTAATATAGTCAATATCTGGGAAATATTGTTTCTTTTCTGAGTGATCTTGTATAAGTAATTCACTTATCTGGGCTTTAAAAAAATTTTTAATCTCGGAGTAGGCTTTATCTCAAAAAATCTTTAAAATTTTAAGTTCTGTTAAGTTCTCTCTTTACAGCCCAGTGGAGAGAGAAGCATTTGAAAAATGAGTGAATAATGTTTGCTATATAGCATTAATAAACACAAGATATGGCTAGAGACAGAAGATATTTAAGAGAACACCACTGGGGCTTGTTTCTACCATCCCTGTTATTTTTATCTTCCTTTTCTTAAATGTACAGGAAACTTCCTAGTCTCTTACCAATCACTGACTTGTCTTGCTTTCTATCATCTGATTTCTCTCATATACAATGTAAGCTGTCGTCCCCAGTGGCTGGAACAGTGCCAGGCACCTGGCAGGTGTCTAGTACATATTTAACGAGAAAACAGATTCAAAAGGTGAACAGTACTGGGAACATCCTTGCCAGTAGATGTGAGGAAACAAGGCCCTTTTGCTCCGAAGGCATCCATTCTTCCTGTTAATGTGTCACATGGGTGTATGTGTTTGGGCTATGCCAACCCATTTAACAATGGGCCCATGCACGCTTGTGGTTGGTTAAGTGTGACTTTAGAATTTATTTATTTATTTATATGGTGTTGAGGATGGAACCCAGTGCCTCACACATGCTAGGCACACTGAGCCACAGCCCCAGCCTCAACTCCTGGAATTTAAATTAGAGTCTTACACAATAGTCCGAAAGTTATAGTTCTGTCATCTCCGATTGCCCCTTGGTCCTACAGATGCCCTCAAATTTCGGGTGTTATTAAGCAGTTTGTGGACTGCAGCTCTGGGATTCACCTGATAAGAGCACACAGCCACTGAAGCTTTCTATTCTAATTAACCCTGACAGAGTTTTCTAGAGGGAAGGCTCAGAGGTCATTGCAGGACACAAAATGTGCCCATACAAGCCCTAAGCACATGGGTGGCCTCTGACTGCGCAGACTTACAAAATTAAGGACTTTAACTCCCGACCCATTGCTCGAAGGTGTTTAGATAGCTAGACACAGATAACCGCCTCCAGCGGGCGGAGTGTGGCGCCCGCGGACGAGATGGGCGGTAACCTGGAAGACCGCTTCCGGGACGCGCAAGCTGGCACTGCGCAGCCGCTGCAGGCGGAGAGACAAGACGCAGGCCGCCCGGTGCGGGGCCGAAGACCATGAGCAAGGTGGTTCCGGGCGGTGGCCGCCGGGCGCGAGTGTCCCGCCTAGTCTCCTTCAGCGCGAGCCACCGGCTGCACAGGTGGGGCGCGCCCACAAGTGTGATGGCAGCAGGCGGGCACCCGCCCCGCCGTGAAGCGCCACGGGGGCGGGGCCGGCGTGCGCGCTTGCGTGCGCGGGCTCGAGCCCGAGCGGGTGGGGCTGGGGCGGCGGCCTTAGGGTGGGTTGTGCGCGCGCGCCGGGGCCCTAGTTGGGGACCTGCGCAGGAAAGCAGTGGGTTCAGGACTTGGCCGAACTCCCCTGGAGCGTGAAGCGTGCTGGTTAACGCTGCCCAGTGCGGAGGGGTCGCCCCAGGTTCCGAACCAGAGGCTCCACTCACTGGCTTCTGACCCTGAGTCACCTAGTTTACCCCGTGGTGTGAAGTTAAGCGGAAGTTAACTCTCCTATATTACACAGTACCCAGAGCATCGCAAACACCATAGACTTTAGCTAATTCTGTATGCTAGGAGCTTGAGCTACCGAATCTAATATAATGACAAGGCTAGTTTTGTCTTCTTTCTACTAAAGATGAAATGAGCCCTGATGTTCTGTTCTCTAAGCAGGCGCACAGCTGGGATTTGCACCCCGAGCACTCAGACTGCCTTCCTGCACCAAATAATTAGTTGATTTTGAGGATTCTTGCACTCCTCTCTAGCTAGTTCCACTCCCTGAGCCTGCGTTTCCTTGTCTGTAAAATGAGCATAACAGGATTCATCCATCCATTGCTGGAAAGGGTTTGTTTTGTGCTGATAAGGCCCTCTACTAGATGACAGGGACCCATACACACTTGTCACTGCTTCCTATCTGGAGCTTACAATGTGGCCAATTTTGTGACGAGTTAAGTACAAGAATCTGTATTTCTGAGAGAATTTTGTGCAAAAGCTTTGTGAATTGTAGCGCTCTTAGAGTGAGAAGTAGGAGAAAATGGGAGAAATAATAACAACCATAAAAAGAAAGGGATTCTATAATAGGAAGCTCAAACGTATGAGGGAGCTAAGAACTCAGAAGCTGAGATTGAGTGGGTATAGATATATAAATTCATTAAATTGTGTTCTGCCTGGAACAACAGCTAAATGTTGTTAATTTTGAATTTTCATCTAATTTGAATATCCCTTGGAAACTTCAGTGGGCAGTAAAAGTTGAGGCAGAGTAGAGCAAGATTTTTAAAGAGGAAACTGAAGTCATGGGATTATTTTTCAGGCAAATGAGATTTTAAGCTGCTTGAGGACAAACATCTACTTGTGTTTATAATTGTATGTCCTTGCTTCATTCTACTCTTGCCTTTTCCATAGTAGGTTATCAGTAAATCCTTGTTGAATTGAAAAATGAAAGGACCATTATCAAGGTAGTTGGAATCTTCCTGTGCAGCAGAGGGATTGAATTTAAGGTTTGTTTATGCTATTTTTTTTTGCAGTACAGTAGTCTAATTAGGGAGTGTACATTTGTTCCCCATGTACAGGTGAGTAATGAAATCAAAGTGATTTTTCTATTTGGTGAGTTACAGTAACAATAAATTTTGAAACTCTTCAAAGACCAGAGCAGATAATGTAAGGAACAGAGAGGGAGTCTGAATTTGATACTGTGTCATGCTGATTTTCTTTTTCTTTTGCTCAGCAAATCTTTGAGTGATGAGGAAAACTTAAAACTGTTTGGGAAATGCAATAATCCGAATGGCCATGGGCACAATTATAAAGGTGAGAGAACAATTATAAAGGTGAGAGAAAAAACAGTATATGGAGAGGATGAAATGTTATCCCTTCAATAAGGGTGAAAGAGTGTTCAGCAAATGCAAGTGTGACTAGTAAGGGGCCTTAAGGATAGAATGAATGCGTTGAGCCTTGAATCAGAAGTTAAATGGAACTTCAAAAAATGAAAAGCTCTGTTGCCTTAGTTGGATGTGTCTTGACATTTCACCTCACAGATGAATAGATATGTTTAACCTAACTTAAACATTAACAACAGCTAAGTGTTGTTAATTTTGAATTTTCATCTAATTTGAATATCCCTTGGGAACTTCAGTGGGCAGTAAAAGTTGAGGCATTATTACTGTGTATACATGTAATGAAACATCACATGGCATGCCATTATTATGTACAATTTTATTTATTTTAATTTTTTTATGTGTGATATTTATGTGTAAGTTAAAAATCAGTTTAAATTAAAAAACAAAAAAATAAAAAATTGATTATATTTTTTATAACATCCTTCACATTTTTAAAAAGATTTATTTTTTTAACCTTTATTTACTTTTATGTGGTGCTAAGGATCGAGCCCAGTGCCTCACACATGTTAGGCAAGTGCTCTACCACTGAGCCACAATCCCAGCTCCAGATTGTATTCTTTGAGTAAACAATGAGTAATAAAAGGGGAATATTGCCTGAGAATACTGTATGGCAGAAAAATAGTTTGTGTCTAAAACTTTGCCAGCCGTGTTCCAAGAAAGTAAGTAACTTGTATAAGGATAAGAGACTTGATTCTTTGAGACACAGCTGAAGACTCAAAAAAACAGCTATAAAAGCTATAGAGGATAGCAACGTTTGGGATGGTGGCATTAAAAAAGACCAGACAAGGGGTCAGAAAAATCAAGATTTCTAATTTAGTTACTGTCTCTTAGTTTACCTATGATACCTCTCACTCTTGGTGTACTCACTTATCATACAATACCTAATGGTTTTTGTGTGGAGCTGAAAAAGTACAAGTTCATAGAAGCTATTAATTTGTAAAGCATTGATTGAATTTTTTCAAATGCTTTGCAAATGCTTGTTATTTAACAAAGTATTACTGTAAACTGTGTATTCATTCTTGTTAAAGGGATGAGGTTAAGGCCCAGTAGTAATTTTGCTTGCTCAGAGGTGCTGTCCAGAAATGGGCCAGTTTGGTGTATAGATGGACACCTGCATGTACATTTTTGCTTTTACAGGTAGAGATCCAGATACACCTTGATAAATATATAAGCAGAATATATAAACATGTAAACATGTATAAACAGATAAGAATTTATACCCCTTTGGGCATTGGCTAATTTCCTCTACTTAGTCAAAGCTAGTACTAAGCTCTTCTGTCTTGGTTGAGTCTTGTTTTGGTTGATAAAATGGTCTTAACTGAAAGGATATATATTTTTTTCAGTACTGGTGATTGAACACAGGGTTTGCACTTGCTGGGAAAGCACTCTACCTCTGAAAGCTATATCCCCAGTCCTTATTTTTTAAAAAATCTTTTTTTTTTTTTTTTAATTCTGAGGCAGCGTCTCACTAAGTTGGCCAGCCTGGCCTTGAACCCGTGATCTTCCTGCCTTAGCCTCCTACATAGATAGCTAAAAGGACAAATGTTTTTGGGTAAAATATAAGTATAGCTTTGGGGGCCAGACATCTAATAATTTATGTTGCTAATATGTGCTTTCATATTAATCTTTTGAAAATCATGTTTGTTTTTTTTTTTAATTTTGTTTTCTTTCCCATAGTTGAGGTGACAGTATATGGAGAGGTATGTGCTGAACATATTTGTGTGGTTTTGTTTATATTGCTGAGTTTTCTTTCAGTCTCCTTGGTGGATTCTATGTTGAAAACTTGTGTTTCAGTTTCATCAGTGTTGGCTTTTGTGTGTGGTGAACTGCTGCCATTCTAGGTCTTTTCTTTTCCTAAGTGTCGTCTTTGTGTGCTGTCTGTGGACAGGTGGAAGAGCTGTGCAGTGAAAAGAATGCCTGATGCATGTGTGCTTTTGTGTTGAGATCAGTGTCGTCTCTGGGATGCAGGCAAATATGGGCACAGTTTGCATGTTGCACAGCCTCTAAGATAGTTTACCAGCAGTTTTGATGTGAAGAGCCTCTCAGAATAATATTTACCCTTGTTTCTTCTTTAGATTGATCCTGTTACAGGAATGGTTATGAATTTGACTGACCTCAAAAAATATATGGAGGTAAATGCCCTCTGTGCTATATCCTCAGCATAATTTTTGGTGACTTCCTTTCCACCTCCCCAGTCAGTTATCACTTGGGGTTCCATGACTTTGTGAGTGGAGTTGGGTGTGGGCCTGGGAGGATAGTTGGAGAAATTGCTCTCATGGCCTTCTAAAAGTCTCCTTAATGGAAAGTAGTCAAAGCTGTGTTGTAATGATGGGGTGATGTGCAAGTAGCATGCTTACCTTGTATTCCTTGTCGGAATATACTGATTTCCTCCACTTCACAAATTCTATCCTTATTTCAGGACACAATTTTCTCCTTGAAGTTTTCTGTTTCCTTTTTGAATATTCCTTATACCTTTGCCCTTATATTTTAACATCACCCTTTATTATTCACTTTGTCTTTACTATAAACTTAGGGACAGTTCTTTACAGAGATAACACAGAAGCAAATATTTAATAAAGAACTTACTGATTGTGTTATCATATAATTCTTGCATTGTAAGAGATCTTAGAGATCATCCAAACCATTTTTTCCATTCCATAGATTAAGATTGAGAGATGCCAGGCAGTTAACTGACTTGCCCCAGGTCATGTTGTAAAGTTGAGAGTAGGCTTTTTTCCATCTAGCTGATTTTATTAGGCTATCATTTATTTGGTTCTTCACATCAACTCTGCAGCTTACTTTTATTCTAAAATTTGACATTTGTTTCATAAAAATGATGTTAATAAACATTATTTCTTCCCATTACGTATCCATATATTCAAACTCTTGCCTACTTTGCAACAGTTCTTGAGCTCAGGGCTAGGAATACAAAGATGAACGAGACATAACCCACAGGGTACTTGTGTTACCTTTTCAGGAGTTAAAGAAAAGTAAATGCTCAAAAGTTGTTGGTTGCAATAAGAGAATGAGTGAACAAACAAATAGCACTGTGCTGAAAGAACTATGGGAAAATTATGAAGACAGAATTCTTGTGTCTTCTAAGGACATACAATATATATACACCAAGTATTATACCATGTAAAACAATAATTAGAGCTCTAAAGCCCACATATAGTTGAATACTACATAGGGGCTTGCTGTGCTCTTTTCCTCCTTTGTATACCTAACGTACACTGTACACGCCTATTTGTGTGCTTATGGCACAAGCAGTCTGCAGAAGAGGCTTCTGTGGAGAAGCTGAAACTGAACTGAGATTGAAGATAAAGCAAAGGTATTTGTTTTACCTACCGTCCTTCCTTCCTTTTTATTTTTTTCAAAGACATAGAAATTTACTTAGGAAAACAGAGGCACATTCAAGGAAGAATGTGGGCTATCTTAAGAGTGAGAGAGAAGCTTTGGGGGTAAAGCAAGGAATATACATTCATGGGAGACTGTGGGCTATTTCCAGAGGGAGAAATAGCTGATATCTTTTTTTTTTTTTTTGGTATTCATTCAAAATATCTTTTCATTTGATCCATTTTATTTCATCTATTTATTTTTGTGCAGGGGATTGAACCCAGCACGCTGTACTGTGTAGCTACAACCCCAGTCCTTTTTGTTTTTTATTTTGGAGATGCTAAGTTATTGAGTTAAGTTGTTCAGGCTGGCCTTGCACTTGCAAGCTTCCAAGTGTCTGGTACTACTGGCATGCACTACCATGCCTGATTGTTTGATCATTTTTAAAAGCTAGTGGATCCAGATGTACCTTTAAAAAATATTGTTCTAGTTTTACTCATGAAATGATTGTTATTATTATTAATGCACCCTTAAAACATATAATATAGAAAATTAGATTGTTTCACAAATGCTTGATTTTTTGTACAAGAACTTAAAGGAAAACCCTATTTAAAAAAAGCAATTACAATCATTGCTAATGATGAGGAAAAACATTGTGTTAATATATGTAAGCATTAGGAAGTAATTGTGTGTTTACAAGAGAGAGAGAGAGAGAATGAGAAGGAGTGGGGAGAGAGACGGAGGGGTTATGGGGAGACAGAAAGTGATAGAGCCCTTTGTTTACCAGAGAAAAAATATAAACTATAAAGGCATTACCCCCAGTGACACATCTCCTCTAACCACACCTTCCTGCTTATAGTTACCACCCAGTTAATTCATATCAGTGGATTAATCCACTGGTTAATCATATTAATTAATTAATATGATTAGGTCACATCTCTCATCTAATCATTTCACTTCTGAACATTCTTGCATTGTCTTACACAGGAGCTTTTGGAGGGATACCTCATATCTAAATGGTAACATAGTCTTTACACATTTGTAATTTTTCTTCTGAGAGCCCAAGATCATTCTTAAATTATTATAGCAGAAATTTAGCTACTTACATAATTCCAGTCCAGGTCTGTTTTATAAAATATACTGCTATTGGATGTTTGTCCTAATGATATTGTGGCATTGTTTCATAGGTGGCACTGTTGTGGAAAAGCATTTCTGGTAACTTTTTTGACAGAATTCAAGAAGTGTTAAATTGAATTTTGAATCACAGTGGCTTGTATTTCGAGAAAACCCTGGCAATTCTAATTTTTAGTTTCTCACCTCTTTGCATTCAGTAACAAGGATAACTAATCATTGCAGGGAACTGGACCTGACTTTATTTTTTACAGCTTTAAACCTTGGAAAGATTGCTTTATAAGACATGGATATATCACTTACCAGTACTGAGCTAGTGGCTAAATGATAGGGTAAGATTTAGAGACTTAGATAGAACCGTATGGAATTTGAGTCATGAATAAAATCAGTGGTTTTCCCCTTTGTTTTGTGTGTAGGAGGCTATCATGAAGCCCCTTGATCACAAGAATCTGGATCTAGATGTACCATATTTTGCAGATGTTGTAAGGTGGGTGTCACCATCTTGCTTTATAGAGATAGTAAGAAAGAAGAATTGATTTTAACATTTTATCTGATTTTTGTGTGATTTCTAAAGTTCTAGTTTAATGATATCTTTGAGCACTAGAATTTGTTTTCTGTGACTATTAGATATGAAATTTTGGTTATTTTTTGTGTTTTCAATTTCTTTTTTTTTTTTTTCTCTACAGCACGACAGAAAATGTAGCTGTATATATCTGGGAAAACCTCCAAAAATTTCTTCCTGTGGGAGTTCTTTATAAAGTAAAAGTGCATGAAACTGACAATAATATTGTAGTCTATAAAGGAGAATAGTTCTTAGGGATTAACACTGTAGAAAGACTAATTTCCTTCCACATTTAAAAAAGATCTTTATCCTCTTGGAATATTAAGTAGTCACCACATAATTGTTGTATTACATTGTGTTCTGAAGTGCCTGATTTATTGAAATCATTATAAGACCTGTTGTGAATTTAAATCTAATAAAATAAAGCTTGTAATGTATCCTGAATATCATTTAGAGAGTCCTTTATCTATAGATTAAAAATCACTTTATTTTCAGCAAAATGTTTTGGTGTGTTAATATTTGAAAGAAAAATCTATTTTTCTTGTATTCTCTTATCTCATTTTTAGAATTCATTTTTCTTAATATAAACGGTAGAAATGCTTATGCAATTTAAAGTAGATGAATTTTATAAAAAAATAAAATTAAGCACTGGTGTGGTAGTACATGCCTACAGTCCCAGCTACTGGGAGGCTGAGGCAGGAAGATTACAAGTTCAATGCTAGCCTAGGCAATTTAGTGATACTCTGTCTCAGAATAAAATAAAAAGGGTTGGGGATGTAGCTCAGTGGTAGAGCACTTGTTTAGCATGTGCTAGGCCCTGGGTTCAATCCCCAGTGTAGCAAAAAAGAAATAAAAAATAAAAAAATAAAAATTCAGATGACTACAAAATCTGGAGACAATATATATAGTTTGAACTCCCTTGGTTACTATTTTTTGGTATGCTAAAGGCACAAATTTATTGAGTGAAAGTTAAACACACAAATTATCTAAGGTGGTACAATGCCAATACATATACAAAGATGGACGTAAATGCTGCTTTCATGGACATTAGTCATTGCAGCTTTACATGGGTATTGAACTATGAATTGCTAGTGAGGAACAACAATTGAACATACTATACAGTATAAGTATATTATTATATGTGTTTGTCTAGAACACCAGACTTTATAGCCACCTGAATAATTTAAACTTGGAAGACTGCAGAATAATGATGTATTTTAAACCATGTTAAAAAGGATCTGGTACTCTGTGAAGTATTTCCTGTATGCAGTTTTTCCTGACTGATCCCATTTTATTCTGATCATTAAACCCACCTGTATAAGTTGAACTATATTCTTGGCATTCATCTCTGGTGTCTTTTCTTCATGACTAAGTCCACAAGAATGTATTTGCTTGCTGTGCACAAAGAGCTATTCTCTTGTGTTCATTTATATTCTAAACTTATTAAACGGAGGATTTTATATTTCTCTCCACATAGTATCTATTTTTTTCTGGATTCTCAGAATGTTGCTACCTGGAAGAAATAAAAAACTTATGCAGTGATCATGATTCTAGAAAATTTTGCAAAGGAAGACTTATTCTGGAGAGGAAGTAACTATAGGAATTTTATTACAAATTTTCATAATCACTGCCCACTTAAATTTGAATGTGTTGTAGTTATCAAACTCAGTTTTTATCTATGTAGACTGTTTTGTAATGATTGAAAGGCAGTATAGCTACTATTTATGAAGTTACTTTATGTTTTAACTCTCACAAACACCATGTAAGGTAGTTACTATTCCCATTTTACAGATAAGAAAATTGAGAGGGTTTAAGCTACTTGCTTAAGATTACTCAGCAAATAAATTAAAAATGGAGATTTTTTCTGACTTCAAAACATAGACTCAAAAAAGGACAATGTATTTATATTTCCAGATTTTTAAAAAGATGCCAAATTTTCAAATCTGATATGTTAGAGAAATGTTTTTCTTGATAATAATGACACTCAAGGTGTTGGTTGCTCATGAGTTGCATCAAGGGAAACATTTTCCCCCTACCTTCTCTCCTTAGGAAAAGAATTTTATTTGTTTATCTATCTAGTCATTCATCCATTCATCCACCAAATTCATGAGTGAATAGATGAGTAAATGGATGGGAGGACCAAAAACAGGTATAGGTGATTTTTTTTCTTCCTTTCAGAGACCATATCAAACTTACAATTATTACTTTTCATGTTTTTCTTCCCTTTTTATTGTAAATTCCTGGTGGGCAAAGTCCTTATTTTAAGCAAAGTGGCTAGTAAATAGTACTCAATTTTTGTTCATTGAATAAATGAATGGTGTATTGCTAAAAATTGTTGAAATTTTATAGTGTTACATACATAATGAGAACTTGGCACATATTTTTAGACTTGAATAACCTGAAAGTTTTGAGGCTCAATTATGGCCCTAGAGGTGTTAATATTTAGTTGACTGATGCTTATCTCTGGTGTTCAGTTTCTTTACCTGTAAAGTTAAGTCCTTGGATTAGGTACTTTCTGAATTATTTCTGCCTATTTTATACTTAGATGATTTTAAATACCAAATGAGTAAATATTATTATTATAGAGAAGGGAGAAGATCATTCCGGGGTAATGAGGTTTGGAAGCTTTGTAAAGGAGGTAAGTCCTTAATGGTACTGACAGTGATTGGGAAGGAGAGTGGCAGTCTGGAATTCAGGAGAAAAGAGAGACTACGAGACTCATTGGCTACGATACTGCCACTGCACAAAACTTTGGGACTGAATGCCAAAGGGTAAAAGTTACTTGGCAAGGCTACTAGGGTGGGAATATGCAGGCATATTGGGGATATAGTGAATAGGTTAATCTTAGTAGAATAATGGTGAAGTAGGACAGTGTTGTGGGACATGAGCTTGGAAATACAGAATGGGGACAGTCCGGACATCCTTGAATGTCAATTTGATTTGTCTTTTAAGTAAGGAAGCTGTTGAAATTTTGTTTTTTAAAGAAGGTAACCAACTGGACAAAGGAAAGAAAGGAAACCAGGTACAAAGCTACTACAGGAATCTATTCATGGAGTGATGGGTGCCTGGACCATGGTGGTGGCAGTAGAAATAAAGAGATGGGGGAAGGAGGATCAAGTTAACATTGTGCAGTGCCTAATGTGGCATCAGGCATTTTGCTGAGTACTTTTTATAGTACCTCATTTTATCCCTACAATCATCCTACTTGGTGAGGTTATTAGTTACCTATTGCTGAGTAACAAATTACCCAAAGCATAGCTTAAACATGATTTACAGCAGCATATATTTATTATCTCAGTTTCTGTGGGCCATGAGCCAGGGGTGGCTTAGTTGTGACCTTTGGTCCAAGGTCTCTGAAAAGGCTGCAGTCATCTCAAGGATCTACCTGGAAGGATCTTCCCAACTAACTCACATGGTTGTCGGCAGGATCCAGTTCCACGTGGGGGATTGGACTGAAGCTTCAGTTCCTGTTTTTTGCCATGTAGGTATTTTATAAAGCTTCTCCTGCATGACAGCTTGCTCCATCCAAGTGGGCAGATAAAGGGCAAGGGAAGTGCCTGCAAAACTGATGTCATAGTCGTTTATAGCCTAACCAGTTTTTCTATATTTTACTTCTTAGAAGCAGGTCACTAGGTCTAGGTCACACTCTAGGGGGGGAGATTACATTTACATTGATAGTGTGAAAAGTGTGATGGAGATAGCAGGAGACAGGCTAGGAAGGTAGACAGAAAGTGTGTATCATGCTGTTTTTGATGCCAGAGGAATAAAGCCCATTTCATTTTGCAGGAGTGAAATATCAGAGCAGCAGTGGTGGTTTATAGAGGGAATTGTGGGTTTTGTGGGTAGGGATATAAAAAAATCTTGGAAGCACAATTCTTGAAAGTAAAACCAATTCTAAGGTGAAGTTAAGAAGAATATAGTCACTGAATCTCATGAGCATAATGACCAGAGCTCAGCTTTCATTGGTATTGCCTTAATTGATGTAACCACTGGTGGGTTATGAAAATGGCCAGAGTACTACAATCAGTTCAGTACATGTAGTCACTGGTACACTAGACCTGTGATAAGTTATCCATTTGGCTTTGCAAATACCAAATTTTCAAATTCCTCCTGGACTTGAAATTATCCTAAAGATCAGAAACAGACCGTTCTCATTTTGCTTTTGTTATGTCTGAGATATTTCTAGCTTTCCTCACATACAGAAAAATTGTTGTTAGTTTCACACAATTTAACTTTACAGCAAGATTCTGCTGTAAGACACTTGGAAAATGTCCCAGATAAACTGGTAAGGTCTCTACAGTGCCTCAGAGAGAACTGTTATTGCTACAAAAGAAAGGTAGAGGCAAGTGGTTCTCCAAATGCAGAATTGTCACCATAGTAGTTCTGCTTTCCATTGGTTCATCAGTTGGTTTGTTTCCTTCAAAATAGCCACAAACTCACTCTCACCTGTGCTTAACAGCTGTTGAGACAGAAGAATTAATGATTTTTCTTACCTCTAACATCTCATCTATCAGAAAGCTCTGCTGGTTCTACCTCCGAAATGTTTCATGTTGATTGTCTTCATTTCTGATGCTATCACCCTAGTCTAAGCTGCCGTGTTTTGGCCTGGAGTTCTGACATGGTCTTTTAACTTGTCTTCTACTTGTACTTTGGTTCTCTTCCACACTCCTATGGGTCTTTCTGAAAGAGCAATTGAGATCTCCTCAGGCCCCATATAATCTCCTGAAAGATCCCTCTTGATTTTAGAATACAATCCAAGCACCTCACACTAGTTTATCAAGCTCTGTGTGATCTAGCCACTGCCTACTTGCAGCCTCAAGCCATTCACTGTTTTGTTCACATTGGCCTTCCAAGTCTGAGGGCATATCAATTTCATTCCTTCCTCGACCTTTGCATCGGCTCCCCTTTTGCCTGGAAAGCTACCCTCCCTCACCTCCCTACCCTCTTCATTCCCCTGCATAAGACTTAAGCATTCTTCAGACTTCAGTTTAATGTCACTTAAAAAAAACCCAACTTTTATTTATTTCTTATTATGTGGTGCTGAGGTTTGAACCCAGTGCCCCACATGTGGTAGGCAAGCAATCTACCACTGAGTTACAACTCCAGCCCTCCCTTCACCTTCTTGAAGACACCTTCCTTGATCACCCTGAATAGGTAGAAGCCCTCTATTATTTGCTGATATACTTTGCACTCACCTTTCTGTCAGTTAAAATTTTTTCTATATTGGTTTCTTTTGTTTTATTTATTTATATACTAGTTTAGTATCCATCCCAACCATGAAGATATCAATGTCATGAGAACCAAAGCTGTGCCTGTATAGTTCACTTTTGTTTTCCCAGGACCCAGCTTAGTGCCTCCTACAGTGCAGGTGCTGAATATAATCATCCCTCCTATCCATGGGAAATTGGTTCTAGGACCACCCACAGATACCAAAAACATGGATGCTCAAGTCCCTTGTATAAAATGATAATATTAGCATATAACCTATGCATAT